TCAATGTGAGAGGACAAGAAATAATAATAATAATGATCACTTTGATTGACGATTGGGTTCCGTGAGTTTTATACGGAATAGTGAGCATAGATAGGAGAAGAGACAAGAATGGAGTCTCTATTACAAGTATTCTTGAGTTGTTGTTAAACTCAGATACACAAAATTTTGATGCCATATTTAACTGTCATTTCTATGTTACTCTGTAACTTGATTCATTTCAGGTTTCCATCATCATTGTATTTCAAACTCCATATTTGTGGTTAAGAATAAAAACGAGGTGTCAATGATGGTTTTGGTTTGTTGGCTGAGTTCTACGAGAGTAATTTAGTTTGAATTATTTAATCTTATATATTATTTGTGATGCATAATTTATTATTGTTAAGTATATATATAATATATAAATACAAATGTACTTTTAATTTGGTACTAGAGTTAGATTTATGCTAAACGAAACAAAAAAAAGAAGGAAGATCAATGGCCAAAGTACCTATAAAGTCCATGCATTATAAATGTTTTATTCAATTTAGTTCTTGTACTTTTATTATGTTCAATTTAGTCTATCTACTTAAAAAAGTGGTGAAATCAAGAGCAATAGTTAACGGTGTTAATGTTACCATAATATAGCTTAAATGGCGCTGACATCATTGTTGCCACAATGATATTTATATTACAACTCATATATTAATTTATAAATATTTAAAATTAATTTTTTTATCACTAATATATTAGATTAATATATCCAAAATAAATAATTACAAACATGCTGACACAAGTATCCAAATCTCATTAGGAACATGGTTGTAATATATTAGTAATACTAGTATTTTTTATGCGCGATGCGCAAAAAATAGGTGTTCAATATTAGTACTTTATATTAAAATTTTAAATTTATTTAGATTTTAAATATTTAAATTATTGTAAATAATAATAAACATTTTTTTTTTTAAGTTTGATATTTATATTTTAAGAACTAACTAACATATAACTCCAATATATAATATGTATATATTATTATTAGGGAAAATGGTTAAATAGGCTCTCAAACTTTAGCTAAAAAGTCAATTAGTCCCTTCAATTTTTTAAAGGTGCAATTACACCCATGAACAATGCATTTTGATGCAATGAAGCCCAAATACAAGTGAATGCCCTGCTATCACATATCATTGGAGATTCGGCCACCTTCCGACGTTAATTTCAGGTAAAAAAGTGACTGGCGACCCAGTGCAGTTGCCTTCTCCGTGATCGGCGACCGTTCGTCGGTTGTCGATCACTTTTTTGCCTGAAAATATCGTCGGATCTTCAATGACCTATGATAGCAAGTCGTTTACCTGTATTTGGGCTTCATTGCATCAAAATGCATTGTTCATGGTTTAATTGCATCTTTAAAAAGTTGAAGGGGCTAATTGACTTTTTAGCTAAAGTTTGAGGATCTATTTGACCATTTTTCCTTATTATTATTGAAGAAAAGAAAATATTTGGTGGGTGCACGTGCATAGTAACAATAATGGAAAAGATAACGGAAGTTATAACGGTAGGGGCATGTTTGTCAAAAATATTGTATAGTACAACTTTTATAGCATAATGTATTAAAAAACTTAAATGGATATAAATGAAGGGTATAACCTTCATTCACACTTATTATTAGTATATAATATAGTGGTGGTAAAACTGGCAGTTCAAACCAAAACTAGAACCTTCCTAAAAGCTTTCCGATACGATTTATCATTTCCCATAATTGTGAACCGGAACCGAATCGAAATCATATCTACTTATATGTGGAATTAAAATAAATGTAAAAATGATCAAACACTATTGGTAATGATAAATCGGTTCGGTTTGGTTCCAGTTTCAATTTTGAACCGCTGATTCAAATTTTATTTATTTATTTTAAATTCTATTTCTTATTTTTAAAATAGTCTAAATTTAACAATTATTTTATTTTATTTTATTTCGGTTCTAAATCGTAACCAAATCCGTCCGTACTATTTCGGTTCAATTTTCGGTTAGGTTCGAATCGAACTGTACTCATTCCACATATATGCAATAATTTGTTAAAAAAAAATGAAATACTTATTTTTAAGGGTAAAAATGTCCATCTAACATAAAAAGGAAAAATCGTCACTTTTAACATAACTGAGGGGACAAATGTGAATACATGAATACATGAAGCAAAGGTGCTATAAGCATATAATTTAGGAGAAAAAGTGTCATTTTTTCAAAAAAATAAAGCGCACTAGAAAGATCTTATGTGACGAGTTTGACTGAAAGTGTGTTAGTAAGAATCAAACTCATTATCATCTCAATATGATAATCATATTTTACTCATCACTTAGTCACCCTCCCGGAGTTTATTTCTTATTTATTTAATTTTGTATTATATGTCCATCTTTCATTCCCATATTCCATGGATCCAGTTGCAATTCTTGAGGGGAGCTTGGAACTGCAATTCCTCTCCGTGGAAAAATAATTAATTTCAACCAAATTATGAATTTAAAAAAAAAAAAATTAGAACAGAAAACATATATCCTATCAATTCCTATTATTAATATGTTGTGAATTTCCACCATTATTCTAAATTACGGAGTAATAAACATTGGGAGAAGAGGAGTAATAAACATTTATTTGATAGTGTAGAGTGTATTTGTACCTTTAATTATAACTTTGACCACCCTATAATATATAAATGTATAGTTCCGTTCTCTCCTATTGACAAGTGTCTATACTGAATTTCAAAATCAAAAGTAAAAGAGAATTATAATTATTATATTGATAAACTTCAAACACCAAGCTCTTATTTAGAGTTTTGAAGTTACTCAAATATAGTGATTTTGTTATGTTTAGTCATACACTTTTAAATTGATCATCTAGGATCTTTCAATTTTTAAATTGTTAATATTTGTGGTGCAAGTTAACTACCGTACTCATAGTCCTTCAACTATCAAATTTTAACCATTCATGGTTCTTTCAGGAAGACCGCGACTGGTTAAATTTTGAAAGTTGAAAGACTATGTGTGATTAACTTGGACAACATATAGTAACAATTTGAAAGTCGTAAGACCATGGATAATTAATTTAAAAATTTATGACTAAATTTGATAAAATTACCATACACAAAGGATCTCATATGATATTATCTCTTATTTATTTATTTATTTATTTATTTATTTATTTATGGTCCTATTCTAAAATCTTTTGTTAACTTCACAAGTCATTGAGGCTATATAAATATAATATTATAACTATAGAGAAATTCTAGGATTTTTCCGCCACAATTACAACTGATGGGTGGAAATTTGCAACGCACAAGTGTTGGGACCATACTAGATAGTAGATAGATATTGATGTTTCATGTGTATCCTGCTAATAGATGAATGAAAAGCATGACCACCGATGAATGCATGCATTCTTGTGGCACAAAACAAACCCTCCTCATGCAAAGTTTTAACTTAATAAGTACAAGATTATAAGTTTTATACGTAAAGGGAGTAGTTTATTGATTTTCTTGATTTGAGCCGATCAATTATAAACAACTTATGCTAATTTATCTTTTAATTGTCTTGTGTTGGCTAAGATCATAATACAAAATTATTTATCTAATATACACTTTCACATAGTGATTGTGACGAATTTTCTTCGTCACTCAAAAAACAAATCCTCCTCGCTCGTCTGGAAACTTTAGTTGAAATTCAGTCATAAGAATCCAAACTAAGTTTAGTTCTGATGGGTGTTTTGTAAGGACTCTAAGATTTTATATATATATATATATATATATATATATATATATATAGTAGGGTTCCAATGAGAACACTTGATTAGATGAGAACGTGAGAACAAATCATGTGCATCCATCTAATATTTTTTAATGGTCTAGATTAGATTAATTGTGTGCGAACGCGAATTAAATGTGTGCAAATTTGTGGATTTTGGAGAGGTTTTTGCAAAGTACAAATTTGGGTGTAAGTTCTTGGTTTCTCAAACAGTAAAAATTAGAAGGATAGGTTTTTAACTAATGTCGAGTGGAGGTTTTTGGTGCTTGGGTTTTCTTGCAAAAAAAAAAAAAAAAAGGTTTTTGTCAGAATTTTTTTTTTTTTTTTTTTTAAAATACAGGAGTGCACGTGTGTTACAATGGGAAGTTGGGGTTTTGAATGGTTTTTGCTCCTCCGAGGGTTGTATTTTTGTGGGACCCACTGTGTAAGAGCATCTCTATTAGTTTAGTTTTTACACAGATTTTTAAGTGTCAACTAGGAGAGAAGAGTGTGGGGGAAAAAAAAAGAATAATCAAAAGAAAATAATTAAATGAGGGCGGTCGCCACCCTCAACGACGTGCCCAGCGGGCACTGTGGGTGTGCTTAACGCGCACCAGCTATAATTTTTTTATTTTTTTTTTTTTGGGATAGAGCCCACAATAGGAGACAAAAACCAGCACTACTGCAACACTCTTTTTTCTTCTTGTCTCATCTTTCTCTCTCTTCCACATAAGATTAACAATTTCAAAAACCTATCCAAAAACCATTATTGTGGTTGCCGTAAAGAAAAAAGAATTAGTACAGATCAAAGCTATGCGTGGGGTGTACTATCGTGCCCAGTTGGTGTGTGCACTACTCGCATTAGCTGGACAACTTTTATTTTTTTTTCTTTTGGCGTTAGAATTTGTTTGTTTTTTTTTTTTTTAATAAATCTTTTTTCTACTCCTCTCTTTCTTCTCTTTCCTATATGATTAGCAAAAAAACCAACAAATAAAATTGCTCTTACTAAGGATATTCTTTACATCAATATTTGCTAACATATGAAGCCTAGGCTCCGGCCTAACTACTAGTCTAACTAATTTTCGTTCGTATCGATCCGGTTTAATATAATTAATGAATAAAGTGCTAATCGCTTGGTCATATTGATTTGTCTAGAAGTTTTGAACTCTAAATTTCTTTTAAAAGATAAAAGTAATTGCCGCACATGTCAACCAAACTGGTTTGATTCAATTAACAGTTGAGTCATCTGTATTTGTATACAGTACAGTAATTTAAACCATACATTAACTTCATGTCTTCAATTTGCTTCAGATCAATGCGACTCCTCTATTTCAGAGTCTGTAGAGTGATCCGTTGGATAAATCTGCAAATAAAATCCCTCCACTCTATCAATCTTTCACACTCAAATCATCATTTGAAAAATTACTGATTAATCCAACTCACTTAATTCAAATTTATAATGCGTTTATTAAATGAGCTTTACCTGAGGGCGTTTATCTTCAAAGCTGATAGTCCTAAGCTTTAACTCTCCTCTGCTTGTTGTTAGTTCATCCAACAGCTCCGCGTCGTTCATTCCCGCTTCACCTTCCTCACTTCCAGGAATATTGTGTACTTCCATCTCCTGATAACACACACTTATATTACATTTCTGTTGAGTTTGTCTCATATATATATGTGCTGAATGAAATAGGGTGGGTTGGGCCCACACGGTACAGTACTACATCAACATGTTTAAGGTTGCATATAAATTGCACCCCTGGAAATTATTAAATTTCTGACTACCCGAAAGTAATCTTAAATCAAGTCGAAAGTAAAAAGTGGCCGGAAATAGCAACAAAAGTTTTTCCGGATACCAAAAGTGGTCGGAACAAGGCTTTCGACTTGATTTAAGATCACTTTCAGGTGGTCGGAAATTTCATAATTTCCAGTAGTGTTGTAATGAGCTCTTTTAGCTTACCCTGAAGGAGAAGCTGAGGGAAGGCTGAAGGGCACCGGCAATTTCCTCGTACTCAGCTGCATCAAGTTCTTGCAAGAACCGAGGAGGCAGCAGCTTAGGTAGGAGATGTTGTCTTATGGTTATCAGCAGAAAGAACGGCACGGGGAAGAGAATGCCGGCTATGGGGATCAAGGTGACTCCATAGCAGAGCAGCAAGTATACAAATTGGAACACTGTGAATATCACTATGTGTCTGAATGGTACAGTCTCCACAAATGATGCATGAGCTCCCTCTAGAACCCTGCAAGATTAATTTCCCACTCTTAATTAGTCTCGTTCTGCATTTCTGTTGAGCATATAATATATAAACATAAACGTGCAATCCAACTATCAGCTTAGACTTTTAGTTCACATACTTGAATCTTCTTGCTGGTGTGATGAACAGGAGCAGGATTCTTTCCCAGAGTTGGTTGCCTGGAAGGCTATCCATGGCCATGTAGGCGAAATATCCCCAAAGGACCGAGGTCGGGATCTTCTTCATCACCGGCACTGCACATACTGATGCTGCAACCAGCACGGACTGCAACAGATTGCTCACTCTCTGCTCGTTAACCCGAACAGGCAGGTAATCATCAATGTGTTTCTCGGGATCGAATGTGTCATTATTCCCCTTTTCTCCTTCATTTCCAATCTTCATTACAGCCTCCTTCAAGTCTTCTAGTTCCTTATCCACTGCAGACTTCAATAGCAAAACAAAACAACCATTGTTCATAACCACACCTTCATGGTTTCGCGCTTTTAGCATGAGAAAATTGGAAAGAATAGAGAGACATACAATGGATGAACTGTCTATCTCTATGAACACTGCTTGCATCTTGCCATATATTCCTTGTTTGCTCTCCTTTTGCCTTATACTTTCCTTTGCTGTTTCTACCATCTTCTTCTTCATCAGCTGCTTGGCAGGTGTTAAGAGTCCCACATTGAAAAATATATGAGTTTATAAGGCCATGAGTTAGACTTGCTAATTTATTAGATTCAGTATATTAATTTAGTGTGGTTTGACCCATGTGCATTATAGTATCCACACCTGTCTTTTAAGAACAACCAAGCTTTTAGTGTGCATAGGGGATTGTGGCAGGACACCATTTGAAGGAGGCAGTCCAAGTAAACCGCAAAGCAAAGTCTGAAAAACAAAAACCAATCTGAATCAACTGCCTTGAAGAAGATGAGATCAAATTGTCAAAATGAAAATGGGAAGAATCTCAGTTAGTTAGACCATAAATCCCAAGAGGAAGATGTCATAATGGTATGCTGAAGGGTTCTTCAGATTAAACTCCTTTTGTTGCGCGAGCTGGGAAGCTACGCTGTGGTCGAAGAAATAAAGCCCCGCAATCATCATGGCTGGAATCAAGGCCGCAAAGATGTATGCAGCAGGAACCCTTCCCATATCCTGCACTTTTAACTTTACTTAATTACTTCTGCTCGGCTCTGATACCAAATTGAAACATGTGTTCTGTATATAGAGCCAAGAAATTAAAGATGTACCTGGATAACAGTCCAGTGATGTGTTGCTCCAGAATCCCAAGCAAGGGGACTATAGAGCCTTCTGGGAACACCAGATGGAACTTTGCCCGGTATGCCGTATGAAAGTACTGACCAAACCAGAACCATCAAAGGAACTCCATAATCAGCAATGAAGCTTCTGAACCAGCCTGTGCCATACCACCATGACCTTGCCTTTCTGCTTTTCAAGGCAGTGTAGAGAAGGCCAAGAGAAAATATGACCCCTAGCAGCCCATTGGTGTAAAGCCACTGAAACTGGTTTTTATCTGACTTTGGATCTTCATCTTTTTGAACATTAAACTCACTCACCTTTCCCTGAGAAGTTAGAACATTTGAACAAGTTTTAGAGACCAAAAGGCGTTTACCAAACACTTTAATTTCAATCAGTTAGCTTATCAGCTACTAGCTTTTCAGCTAAGCGTGCCAAACAGATCAGAGTACCTTAATTGCCTCTTGAATAAACAAAACCGCGATTAGCATGCCAAATGTTTCCCCTGCAATCCTTGTGAACCGGTTTATCACCCGACCAGCGTTGAATATCGCCAGAAGAAACAACATCAGAGCTGTCCACACACAAACCCTGCAACATTACATCAAAAGGGTCTATCAATAGTTAGATTTTGGAGTAAAAGAAGTCAAAAGTTTTGGACTAGATCAGAGGACCATAAACTTTTCAAGAAACCAAACAGATGAAGAGAAATTAATTCCTAGTACCTACCATCCGGTCCAAGCCAAATAGAGTTCTTGTCCCAAATCTTTCCTATCTTTAGCAAACTTGTAGAGATAAGTGTACATGATAATGGTGGGCTCTGCAACTCCCAGTATCAGAAGAGGCTGCCCGCCAAGAATGGAGTGCATGATACCACAAATAGCAGTGGAGGACAAGGTTTCCACAGCGCTCAAGCTGCCATCTATTTTCCAACAAACAAAATCTCAGATTAAGGTAAACCCAAAAACTGATTCGATTCGCGAAAATTAATGAAACAGTAGACAAACAGACAGACCTGTGTCCCTGCTCAGTTGCTCTCCAAAGGCAATCACAGGAAGAGCAGAAGCAAAAAAGATATATGCTGTTGGAGCAAGTATCCTGAAAAACATAACTGTTAGAATCAAACGCTTACCACTATGCCAAAAACTAAACTTTATTTTCTTAGCCACATGAACATGAAATACTCAGAACTTTTTTTTTTTTTTCTTTTTTCGGGTGTGGAATATATACAGAGAAGGAAATGTATGTATACCCTATTCCGGACCGGATTCCAGCAACCCAATCTTGCTTATAGCAGGCTATTCTTCCCCTAACATCCTCTGCAATACCTCTGAATGGAGTCCTGAGATTCTGCATGGCTGGAAACCCTGAACATACAGTACAGTATATATATACTCCGTATATCATATAAATCAAGAAAACATAATCTTTTTAGTGGGTGTCCAGTGTCCTTAAAAGAATCAAAATCTTATATTATTATACGCTCTGTGCATTCATATTTTGTTTGAAAAGTAAAGGACTAGCTAGGAAGAATCCAAAGCGCAATACCCTGGAAAATGGAAATATTTTGCAGCGTCTGAGTTGTGTTCCTTTTCAAGTGTTGTATGTTCCAAAGCGCAGAGACGTTTGGTCAGTTATATAACGTGCATGGGCAACGGCCAAATGGCAGACTTGAAAATCACTGGCCACTCGAGGGCATACTCGTACCACCACACATCTATATAAATTTATATATATATATATATATATATATATATATATATATATATATATATATATATACCAGCTCACTTTTAACTTGATTTATCATCATCTTGCAGATTAATTGTTAGGACTTGTCCACAAGAAAAAATTATTGTGTGGACCATGAATATCAAGTACATTTTATATATTAAAAGTATATTATTTTTGTACATTATTAAAAATGTACTTTCAAAAAATGTACTTTACATACATAAATGATGTACCCTTAATATATTAAAAATGTACTTTTTATTTATGGTACACACAATTGTGTGGACTATGGTCAATGCAATAATGATTGGTCCACAAGTTTTCATCTGAGGAGTAGTTCTCATATGATTACAATTATATATATATATATATATATATATATATATATATATATATATGTCACTGTTCAGGTGAGGGTGGACAATCTACATCCATGGATCTTGGAATTACTTATGGTTAGGATTTTATAGCTTTAAAAAAAATTATTTTTCAATTATATTACGAAGAGTCGTTTCGTAATTCTTTAGTGCATCTAAAATAGGTAAAATATTATTTAATGACATTTTACATGTTTTTAGGGATATTTTTTGAATTCACTGTAAAACTTTGTACACTCAAAATGCATGTGTAGAGTTGGTTATGCTACATAGCACAGTAATTTAAAAATATACTCAATCTGAATGATTTTAATAATCAAACTGCATATGCATAGATGATTAAGATATATTGCAAAGTGAAGAGGTTTTCATCTACTACTCACCAATTGTTTTGTGGACGATAATGCATATGCATAGTTGTATATGCACAGTATATAAGGGATAAACCATCCCCACTAATTTTGACCTTACAGTTCAATTTGCACATAGATTTTTGATACATACATGGCACAGTATAAATGGAAGAATCAAACCAAAGGCAATTTTGGAAGAGAAGGAGATTCTCAACAAACAACATTTCGATATGGTTTGGAACTTTAATTTTGTATTATCTAAATCTAAATATATAATAAAAGAATTTTTATCCGTATATTGCACGTGTAATTTACTAGTAATTGCTTATAATATTTCACGCTTGAGAGTTGGGACTAATGAGTTATTTAAATAAATGAATATGTTATATTCAACTCTTACAGGGCGTTTGGTTTGAGGGATTTTAAATTCCCTTCCCACTTAATTCCCACCTAATTCCAAAGGCCATTAAATTCCGTAGTTTGGTTGGAGGGAATTGCAATTCCATGGAATTGCAATTCCCCCATTTTCATGGAATTAAAATCCCATGCCCCCTGGTATTTTAATTCCTGGGAAAAAAAGATAGTGATGAGTCAAAATTACCCCTTCCTTTTTTAACCTAAAATTAATGTCTAACAACAATAATGAACATTTTTGACTTTATACTACTTATTCCCTTTCAATTCCCATGTATACCAAACATTGGAATTGAAATTCCCAGTAATTCTATTCCTATCAACCAAACACTGGAATTTAAATTCCCACTTTATTCCCAGTAATTCAACTCCCATGGAATTATAATTCTTTTCCCACATAATTCCCCCCTCCAACCAAACGCCCTGTTAAGGAATAATTTTAAGAATTATAAGAGAATGATGATAAAGATAATAACCAAAAAGGAAAAGAGTTATATTTACAAATATATTTTTGTCAAAATGAACCATTTTTCTTTTGACTAAAATAAGTATTTTATATTAATTTCATTTTTGATTGATAGTTAAACACTAAAAAATCTAATAAAATAATTTGTAAAAGTTATTTTATGAGGTTCTTAATAAACCCTAAAGTTCCGTGGTAGTTACAAAATGCGTATCATCATTATTATATTATTATACTCAAACAAAAAAAATAAAATTACAGAGGATAATATTTATTTTGTTTGGTCACCGAATCTTGGATTTATTAAGGTTTTCTTGTATTATTCAATTTGTTGTTTATGAGGAATAAATTAAATTGGTTTTATTTGTTGGGAGTTTGACCAGAAATCATGTGCATGTGCCCTACAACATCATTAATAAGCCAGGTAATATTTCTAATAATTGTACCCCCATCATAAGCTGACATTCACAACAAGTTCATGGTCGGAAAGCAAGTACAATCTAGATGGATATTGGCCCTCTCTCTAGCCTCTAGTTTAAATAAAATTACAATTTAAAAAATGTTATTATGTATTCTCTCCCTAAAAAATCAGATACAATCTCATATCCACTTTATTAAAAATTATGAATTGATTTTCAAACTTAGGAGTTTTACACAAACTAGTATTTTCACCCGTGCGATGCACGGAATGGAATTGTTGTAATATACTAAGAATATTTAAATCGATATATAATTATTTAAGAGTTAATTTCACCAGAGGTCGCTTAAAATTTCAGGATTTTGTTTTTATATATAGTATAGATTAGATGTGCAAAGAGAATTGTATTACACTATTTTATAATTTTAGAATAGAATTTTTACCCAGAATTATTGTACGAATGGGAAAGTAGAAATCAATATATTTTATTGGGAAGAGAGATTTTTTAGGAATTGGGCGGGAAGTTAAAATTTCAGGATTTTGTTTTTATATATAGTATAGATTGTATTACAGTATTTTATAATAATATGAGAATAGAATTTTATTATGGAGGATGAAAAGTGTCAATGCCCCAATAAGTCTAGGACCAAAAATGGCATTAACTCTTGTATTCCGTGAGTCACAATAATAATATAAAAATAATTAAATATTATTCAATTCTATATTCTTCTAGGATTTCTATTACCATCATTAATTATTCCCAAATTTACCATAATTAAATAATTTGACCAATTATAAAGAAAGATTATTAAATAATGCATGGGACAATTGTTTAATTAAAAATTTTAAAAATTCATTAATAAAACATAAGGTTCTCATAATTTTTTCTTAATAAAGTATTTTTATTTTTTATTTTAGAAATTGGTGGGCCAAACCGCCTACGACAGTTTGCGGTGGATAGATCTCGAAAAAATATGCGATTTCAAAAAAACATTTGTCTAAAACGGACAACGAAGTCAAAAGTTATGCCTTGCCGAACTTTTGACAATTTACAACTTAGTGTCAAAAGTCAAAAGTTATTAGGAGGAGAGATTTTTTAGGAATTAGGCGGCAAGTTAAAATTTCAGGATTTTGTTTGTATATATAGTATAAATTGTATTACAGTATTTTATAATAATATGAGAATAGAATTTTAAAGCAGAATTATTGTACGAATGGGAAAGTAGAAATCAATATATTTTATTAGGAGGAGAGATTTTTTAGGAATTGGGCGGGAAGTTAAAATTTTAGGATTTTGTTTTTATATATAGTATAGATTATATTACAGTATTTTATAATAATATGAGAATAGAATTTTAACGCAGAATTATTGTACGAATGGGAAAGTAGAAATCAATATATTTTATTAGGAAGAGAGATTTTTTAGGAATTGAGCGGGAAGTTAAAATTTCAGGATTTTATTTTTATATATAGTATAGATTTTTGATGGATCATAATCGGACCTAGAAACACAAATGACAAATAATTGTCAAGTGTTTAAAGGCACACATTGCTAGAAGACAATTTTAATTCATCATTAACAAATTCTTTTAATATTAATAATGCACTTTAAATTTTTCAATTTTTTAATATTAATAATACATTTTAAAATTTCAAATTATTGAAAGATATCTTATTCATTTTTCATTTATATTATTTTCTATTAATTAACCATTATTAAAGTTGGCATACTAATTTTTTGTCATTGGACTGTAGCTAAACTTTAAAATTGTTTTAATTTTCAAATTTATTAAGAGTGTGTTTGGTTTGTACATGAGAATCAGAATCAAATACTTGGTAATGGTAGGGTTTTTAGTGGAAGTATTTTGCATGTTTGGTAATAGAGTGGAATTCGAATGATTACCAATATTGTTGTTTGGTTATATATGATCCTATAATGTGAATAAATATTTTTAAATACAAGAACGAAAAAATCAAGATAATTTATTATAATATAAAGACACCCAAAGCACCAATATGAAAAAAAAAAAATTAAAAAAATCTAAAAACACTAATTTAAACTTAAAAATCAAATTACCAATTAGGAGGGGAATAATAGAATGAAACCCTTATTTTATTAGGGAATGAGTTTTCTAATTAAGGGGGTAATAAAATCTCATAGTAGTGTTCTAAAACCTGTCAACCAAACAATAACAATGACCTTGATTTCATTCCTGATAGCTAAACCCATGAACCAAACACACCCTAAATATTACTGGTTTTTTTTAAAAGAGCCTTTTACGGCATTTTATTCGAAGTATGCAGAAATAGAAGCTGGAGGAGCAGAATCCCAGTATATAGGATTCGAGTCAGTAAATGTAGTAGATGCTAATGTATGAGCTAAATAATTATCTACTCTAGGAATGTAATGAAGTAAACAGTAATCAAATGTCGATAAACTAGTCCTGCAACTATCAATGGCATAGCCCAAGTAATCCCGTGACGAGTGTGTCGTAGAAGACAGGCATTGTTGAAGCACCAAACAATCCGTGTATAGCTCGATAGAGTTTATTTCGCGACTCCTCAACCATGACAATACTTCCTTGCATGCAACAGCCTCCGCCATTAGGGGTGAAAAACAATCTATCACTGTAGTAGCCATGGCCGCAATATAACTCCCTTGGCCGTCTAGGATAATTGCTCCCATTCTTGTCCTGTTCGTCTGTGGATCGTAAGCCGCATCGAAGTAGCATTTTCCCCTCATGCCGTGAACAGCATTGCGCGCGGTGTATGTCGTAGAGAGTTGCGGTCGGTGTACTGTGACGATGGGCGTGGCAGCCGTATGTAACGCCGTGGCTATAGGCACGTCCGCACCGGTTGTTACTGCTATGGTGTGGTCTACCGTGGTAGCATGGATCGGCTGAGTTGGTGTTCGGTGGTGAACCGCCTTCCAAGCATTGAGAGCTGATGCCGCCATCACAACCACTTTCCGAGGCCTGGGTAAGTACGCATCCCACACAGCTCCATTCCTTGTGCGCCAAATATAATAGAGTATTGCCACTGCATAAATAATCCCGTCATCATCTAAAACATTCATCAAATCATTAAACCAATCTCCAAAAATATTTATAACATTATTGGGGATTGGAAGGTGGGATTGTGTCCAAATGGCTGCCGTGTAGGTACATTTGATCAAGGAGTGCACAACATCTTCATGTTCAATTCCACACATAGCACATGTTGGGTCAATATCAACCCTCTTTATAAGTAGGTTCTTTGTAGTGGGCAAAATATCATTTAGAGCTCTCCATAAAAATGTTTTCCACCTGGGTGGGATTTTAAGCTTCCATAACTTTTGCCATTTATCAAATGTCACAACCTGTTGGCTATATTCTCCAACTACTGTTCTGTATCCATTCTTAACAGAATATTCACCTCTTGGATCCCCATACCAGTACCACAAATCCTCATAATCTGGTGACACAGGTATTTTCAGAATTCGCTCAATATCCTCAGGTATGAAAATATCTGTTAGAATATCTTTATCCCAGGTTCGTGTCTGTTGATCCATCAGACCCACTACTTTCGCCTGTGCCAATTGGGGTGGTTTTTCTGTTAATATCTTCGGTTGTAACCCATCATGCAACCATGGATGATCCCATATCAATGTTGATTGGCCATTTCCAATTCTCCTCCTAACTCCCCCACAAATCAATTCCTGTGCTGCCAAAATACTCCTCCAACAAAAGCTCGGGTTATTTCCCACACATGCATCATAGAAAGAATTAGTGGGATAATACCTGGCTTTATAAACTCTTGAAACTAATGATTGTGGCTGTGTCAGGAAACGCCATCCTTGTTTTCCAAGCATAGCCAGGTTAAACGCTCTCAATTCTTTAAACCCCAATCCTCCATATTTCTTTGGAATACATAACTTATCCCAAGCTTTCCAGTGAATACCCTGATCATTATTCGACCTCCACCAATATCGATTCATGGTTCGCTCAATGGCAGCGCAAAGAGAGGTCGGTAGCAAAAAGACACTCATTGAGAAGGTAGGCATAGATTGAGCCACACTTTTCAATAGGACTTCTTTCCCTGCTTGTGACAAGAGTTTTTTATTCCACGAACTAATCCGCTGTCTTATCTTATCCTCAATATAAGCAAAAGATGCCCTTCTGTTTCTGCCCACAAATGATGGGAGCCCTAAGTACTTTCCAAAATTCTGTGCCTGCACCACCCCCAATATATTGGCCACCTCATCCCGCGTTTCATCTCTTGTGTTCTTACTATAACAAATACTCGATTTGTGATAGTTGACAGCTTGACCAGACATTTTTTCATATTTTTTCAGACAACTTTTAATCACACCTGCTTCTTGGGCATTTGCTTTGAAATAAAGCAAGCTATCATCAGCAAAAAATAGATGGGTAATAGAAGGTGCCCCTCTAGCAACTCTACATCTATGTATCTCCCCCTTCGCCTGCGCTTGTTGTAGTAATAGTGAAAGCCCTTCAGCACAAATAATAAACAAATAGGGCGATAGGGGATCACCTTGTCGTAAACCCCGAGTCGGAGTAATTTGTTCAGTCTGTGAACCATTAATTAATACGTTATAAGACACAGTGGTCACACACATCATCAGTAGTCTCACCCATCTGTCATCAAATCCCAGCGCCATTAACATGCTTTCCAGAAAGGGCCATTCCATACGGTCATAGGCTTTCGCCATGTCGAGTTTTAGAGCCCCCCAACCTGCTAAACCACATTGTTTCCTGTTTAGGTAATGTCCCACCTCCGCAGCTATCAGTATGTTATCCGTAATTAATCTCTCAGAGATAAACGCACTTTGGGATTCAGATATGATATTCTCCATTAATGGTTTCATTCTGGCAGTAATAACTTTAGCCATAATCCTGTAGATCACATTGCTTAAAGCAATTGGCCTATAATCAGAAACCATCTCCGGGTTTTTCTTCTTCGGGATTAAAATAATATTCGTCTCATTCAGCTTACTCGGAAATGAGCCAGTATTCAAGCAATTCATAATATACGAAGAGACATCAGTTCCCACCACATCCCAGAAATGCTGATAGAATCCCGGATTCATCCCGTCCGGTCCTGGTGCTTTATCAGGATACATTGAGAATAATGCAGATTTTACCTCACTTACTTCAAAAGGGCGCAATAACCCCTCATTCTGTACTGGCGTTACACGCGGTTGTATAGTCGCAAAGAATTCATCATTAATTGTAGGAGAGCTCGATTTAAAAATGCCTCGATAGTAATCCAAGATGATATTTATCATGGCATCTCCCTCAATCCAATCCCCACTATCATTCATTATTTTAGCAATAGAATTCTTTTTCTTTCGATTAGAAGCATACCTGTGATAAAACCTGGTGTTTGCATCCGCATCCTTGAGCCAGTGCTGCTTGGCCCTCTGCCTCCAATAAGTATCCTCCTGCAACTCAACACGTGTCAAACACTCTTCTAATCTCTGGAATTCAGCTAGGGATACTGGATCTGTACATCCTTTGAGGCGTAACTGTTCCTTCCGTAAGCACAATATTTTTTCACCAAACTTGTGGAATCGGTCTCCACCCCAGCGCGTTAACCGGTTACCACACAATGTGACACATTCCTGCAATCCCCTACCTCTTCCTTCGTCCCACGATTTTTCTACCACCGCTCGACATCCTTCATCATGTAACCATGCCATCTCAAATCTAAAACCTCTTCTCAGACCCCCCCTCCTTTCCCGAAGATTCAGAATCCCAAGGAAAAGAGCCGAGTGATCTGACTTTCTGGTTAAAATATTCTGCACACTTGCATCGGTTACCAGCTCTCTCCAATCTTGCGTGGCCAAAACCTTATCCAACCTTTCCTCGATCCAGTTTGGAGTTCCCTTCCCTTTTTCCCAAGTAAAGGGATACCCAGACATCGGTAATTGTGTCAAGCCACACTCCTCAATTGCCTCTCCAAAACCCCTCAACAAGCTGTCCGGATGAGGATTCCCTCCTCGTTTCTCACACTGGTATAAGAGATCATTAAAATCTCCAATGATTACCCATGGCAGATCCGACTTTCCTGCCAACGAATGAATAAGATCCCATGACTCCCTTCTCTGTGGTCGTTTTGAGAAGCCATAGAACCCAGTCATCCTCCATTTATCAAATCCCGGCATACTCACTTCCACGTCAATATGATTATCAGAATAACCTATCACAGTTGCTGTATCATTCGCCCTCCATAATAATGCCAAGCCACCACTCAATCCAGAATTATCCACATTCAAAAGACCATCAAAACCAAGTTTTACCCGAAGTCGTTCTGCATGATCCCGGTTAACCTTAGTCTCAATCAAAAATACAAAGTCGGGTTTCTTACGGGACACCATGTCCTCAATTTCCCGAACTGTCCGTGGATTACCCAAGCCACGGCAGTTCCAGCTCAGAGTGCTCATTGGGATGGGCGGGTCTGCACTGCAGCACCCGCCATTCGCAAGTTTTTTTGTACGTCTGTCATCGTTATATCCTCCTCCACAACTCCCTCACCTCCTCGGCCTACCCCACATCCCGCATCATCCGATGGTACCGAGCTCGGACCATCCGATTCCACACCCACACCCACGACAACTCCCCTCCCAGCCTCACCATCCGTTCTCCGTCTTTTTGGATCCACCCTCACCCCCTCTCCCTTGCACTTTTCGACTGCCCCATCCCACCCTTTCCCGTCACCCCAACTTCCACGGCCCGGCCCCCTAACCCGGTCAACTCCTCCCTCCCTACTGCCCCACCATTCTGCCCGTAACCCCCCATCCCAAAGCCAATTTCTTTTCTCCTTTCTTGTCCTAGTTTGAACCATTTATCCCCTATGTGCTTGGCTGGACTATTACCCCCCGCCCTCAATGTCGCAGCAAACATGTACTGATCCGGGGTTAACAAAGAACGTCGAGCCGCTAAACAAAACTTATCAGTGTGTCCCATTATTCCACAGAAGAAACAGAACATATGCAGGCGCTCGTACTTGAAATTTATCCAAGTCCATGTCCCATCTCGCATAATCATCTTCATACGTCGTTTTAACGGAGCCGTCACATCATGCGTTATGCGTATCCGGTAAAACGAGGTCCATGACCTCTCAAAGTTCCGCTCATCATACCGTTTAAACACCCCCGCAAAATCACCAATCCGTTCTAACACCTTCACCGTTTGATAACCCAACGGAATATCGTAGACCTGTATCCAGAAATCCACAGTGTTCAACACCACTTGCGTTGGATCGACTCCATCCTCGAGAATTTGACAAATAAGTGTTGTGTTTTCGAACGCCCATGGCCCCTCCTCCAACACCCGGCGCATATCGGCTTCGTCAAAAAACGTAAAGAGATACAGATTCGGGAGCACATCTGTTATCTCTATTCCCATGAGAGGCCGCCAAGCTGCTGCCATGACCCTCTTCATCACCTCAACCTTGAGAATTCGATCGGTCAAGAACTTCCCGATCAACGTCCACGTTGTCCGCATAGGGGGCTGCGCCGGACCTTCGAACATCTCCTCCTCAAACCGCACTCCATCCGCATCATCCTCCAAATTCATGTCTGCCGTTGATGCAACAAGCTCTCGTAGATTCATCCTCGCACGAATGATGTTCAGTCGGAAAACGAAAGTCTAAACCCTAGGAACGCCGGAACCCTAGAACACAGGGAGAGCCAACGCCGGAACCCTAAATCGCAGGGAGCAAATTATTATTCTCTAGAAGATTAGATAAAAAATACGTTGTTATTTCAATGTCAATAGATTGGAGCGAGTTTTTAATCTATAAGCCCTTTAATTTCAATTCATATGTCGTTTGCATTAAAGAATGTCAATTACATTTTAAAATTTCTATTTAGAACGAGAAATTACAAAAAAAAAAAAAAAAAAAAAAAAAAAGAAAGAAAAAAGAGCATATTAGATCATTGATTGATATAAAAAAAAAAAAAAAACTGATATGAAACAATTAATTTGTTTATTTAAAGAAATGCTAATATAGAGAAAGGTTCAAGTGCAGTAAAAGCTTCCCATACGGTCATATGGTTGATGGCTCAAATCAATGAAAATTTTTTTTAAAAAAAAAAAAAGAAAAAAAAAACGCGTGTCTGAAAGAAATGAGCTAAAAATGGCGCACATTAAGTAATAGAAACATGCACCTTAAGTATTAGAACAGCGCACCTTAAGTGTTATAACAACTCACCTTAAGTGTTAAAATGATGCACATTAAGTTTTATTCAAAAGTTTTGTTCTTGAGGGTTTGAATCACCTCTCAGTTCAAAAGTTTTGTTCTTCTTGATGGTCTGAACTACCTGTGACTCACAGAGAATGGTGCGCGAAGAAGAAACATAACGCATCTTAAGTATTAGAACAACACACCTTAAGTGTTATAACAACGCACCTGCTTAACATATTAAATATAAGGAATAAGGTTCAAATTGGCCACTGAACGTAACCTGAAAATGCAATTAGGCCACTGAACGAAAAAAAAATGCAATTAGGCCACTGAACACTCCAAAAATGTGCAATTTCACCTGATAGCAGATTACCCTCAATTTTAGCAGGTTATCTGCTTACGTGGCAGCTGAGTTGCCATTTTTAATAAATTTTAATTAATTTTTAATAAATTTTAATAATAACTTTTTATTAAATTTTATTTTTTAAAAAAATAAAAATGACTTTATTTTATTTTTTATTTAATTTTTCCAATTTTTTTATAAAATTTATTATTAAAATTAATTATTAAAAATTATTTACAAATTATTAAAAATGTCAACTAAGCTGCCACGTAAGCATGTCACCTGCTAAAATTGATGGTAACCTGCTATCTGGTAAAATTGCATACGTTTGGAAAGTTCAGTGGCCTAATTGCACATTTTTTGAGTGTTCAATGGTCTAATTGCACTTTTTTTTTTCGTTCAGTGGCCTAATTGCATTTTCAGGTTACGTTCAGTGGCCAATTTGAACATTATTCCTAAATATAATATAAATTGAATAATAAATATGTATAGCATCACTATAAGTATAAGCGGGAATAATTATATTTTTCCAATTTGATACGTCTCCTTCAATATAATTGTCCAACTGGAGTACTTGATCTTATGATACCTGTACTTTGTGCGGTTGGCAAGATTTGAATATACTTAAATTTTATTCTTACTTTATATGACTATTCCCAGTCTATAATTTTATCGGTTATTGAAGCGATTGAGATTATAAATAAGATAGAAAAATACCCGTTCTAATTAAAGGAATATGATTTTTAATTAAACAACAAATTTCATATTTGTCTTTCAAAAAGTTATAAACCAAACATTAACTATGATTTTAATTCACATTCCTTATGTATAAATCAATGAACCAAACACACACACACACACACACACACATATATATATATATATATACACGCACAAATTCCATGAGTTTGGCGCCACAGCTACAGCTGATGGTTGCAAATTTGCAACGCAAGTAACGCCGTTGAAGCTGAGAGTTGCACGGAGAATAAACATTGGGACCATCCCAGATATTGATGTGTTATTTGTACTATGTTGTTTTGTATCGTAGTTGAAAACCATGAGGACCTTGGGATTGAATGCTTGTGCCACAAACTCTCCATCCCTGTGGAAGATTTTCGGCCAAGTTGGAAAGGCTACTATGTTATCATCATGGTCTACTGCAACTAAATTTACACAAAAACACAAAAAAATCTTTATTATATGTTACATCAAAAGAATATTTTTACGTTAAATTTTATTCGTTTCCTCCCAATGACACTAAATTTTTACGCTAAATGTTATTCTAAACTAAAAGAATTTAGTTTCTTAAAGTTTAAAAGTTTATTAGTTTGAATTTAATTAATTTAATTAATTTAATATAAAATATAATTTGTGATGTAAATAATAATATTTTAGTACCATTTAATTTTTGATGTAATTTTAATTTTGTTAAAATTATATTTTATTTAGTTTAATTTTTAACTAATCACGGCTGGAAATCTTCAGATTTTTGACCACCGAAAAGTGGTTGAAAATCACAATTTTTTGGTGTTCCGATCACTTTTTCGATCATTTGTGGCATACAGAAACCGTTGTCTTAAAAAAAGGGCGCGCAAAGACAACGCTTTTAAAAAACCGTTGTCTTTGTAGTATTGTGTATTAAATGTGCTTAAAAACAACACACCAACAACAACGGTTACATAAAATCGTTGTCTTTATTAAAAAAAATGCACATAAACAACGATTTTTAAGATGTTGAAGATAATATTATATGTCTATATATCATATGTGCTTAGTGCCTTTACATTTTTTCAAATTTTAAGTATTTATAAATGTGTATTTCCTATAATTTTTATCAAGAAAAATGTTATTATAATTATATACTAATATTATCAATTACTGGGTTTTCTTCAAATTTTATATATATAATTGTTATAATGATGAATGTTTGTATTATGGGGTAAAAATAATATATAGTAAAATACATGACGATATACAATCCATTACGCCAGTTTTATAGAACAAAGTGATGTGCCGTTGAAAGGGTAATCATGGCCACCGGCGCAGGAGACACTGTAGCAGCGTCAGAGATGGTTCGCTCAGACTAAAGAGCGACAAAGCCATCAATTAAGTATGGATGCCATGAGAAAACCTAGACTACTGATACCATATGAATGTTTGTATTTTGTGATAAGAATAATACACAGTACACAGTACACTACACGATAATATATACATTATGTAGGATTATGAAACTCAATAGAACTAGGATTGTAGAATACGTCCTAACAAGAATAAAGATTTTAAAGAGTTGAAGTTAGAAAATGATTTCATGTATCTACATGGAAAGGGCACAGTCTTATTTTTTATATAGCATGAATGGTGAGATGGTATCTATTAGTAAACTCTCTACATCCTTGTGATTGAAATCGAAAAAAAAAAAAAAGTATGAGTGAAATAATCAATAATAAAAAAATAAATCATGTAGCCTTCTGCATTTAAAACCACAACAATAAAAAATAATAATAATAATAAATAATGAGGATTTCCAGCCACCTTTATACGGTGGTCGGTATTTCCTACCACTCTTCAAGATGCTCAGAAAAACATTTTAAATTTAAAAAATTGAATTTGGCAAAACCTTTCCGACCACTATGTAAATAGTGGTCGGCATTTCCGACCACTTAGGAAAAGTAGTCGGATTCCGACCACTATAACCTTTCATAAAAAAAAATAAAAAAGTCACTTTTTGTGACCAATTTTTGGGTGCAGTGGTCGGAAATGAATTTGGAAAACGCTGATTTTTCAACCGTGAATCTATATTCAATATGAGTCTTGTTTTAATTGTCTTAATGAGATCTTTCAAATAATATAATTTATGTTTAATAATATAAAATTTATGTATAATTATTTAACCAAAAAAAGGGGAGGGGGGGAGGTAGGAATAAAACTTTGCGCCATATTTGGCGTAACACTATTCACCATTATATTGACAAAAACTTTAATTTGCTCTTTTTGCGTCTACGTTGGAGGCGAAATCCGCCTTTTTTTTCTACCAATTTCTTGTTTTGCAATCTTCTTTGGAGATGGTCTAAGATGGACTACTTATATAAGTTTATTTTTAATATACTGTAGGTTCATTTTTAGTGTACTACATGTTTATTGTACTATAAGTTTATTTTTAGGTAATACACTATCAATGAACATGTATCAAAATATAATGAACATATTAAAAATAAACTTGCAATATACAAAAAACAACATGTATCTTAGTGGTCCACGATATAACGATTGATACATATAGTTTCTCAACTTACGTTATACTAATTCTAAATTCTCAAAATTCTTGCCCAAGAGTTACTAGGGGAGGTAAATTGCGAGTCGCTTAGTGAATTCCCAAGTTCTCACCTCTTGCCTCTGAGCACAAGAAATTTTCATCACATCTATTTGGTCAAGGTTTCACAATGACCCTCTAGACTTTCAGTGGGATTCGAACTCCTACACTAACATTAAAGCAAGATTTTATAGTAATAAGTCCAATCAATTGAGTTAGCTACACATAAAAAAATTGGAGTAGTTGGCAGAGCCTAGTGGGACTCCCACATGCCATTTCACAGTAACTTTGCAATATAATTGAGTTTAGAGACGTTTCGTAGTCAAGAACTGTTAAGCTTTCTAAGAAGTTGTTTGGTGTGGTTAATGTGTAGTGTTACTATGAAAATATAATTGCATACCAATTAAATTATATGAAAAGTTATTAAAACATTTCATCTGTCTAAACTTTTTAAGAAAAATATTTTTAATCTTCAATATATCATTGGCCGCATGTAAGCAATAAATTACAAATTGGTTGTTGTATTATTTATGTTTAATTTATTCCATTAAGGGGGCAATTGTGACAGCAGTAATAGTATTGGAATATTTCCACGGCCCAAGGAGGAAATTGTGTTTACTAAACAGAAAGAAAGAATTTGTTTCTACGAATGGATAAGAAAATTGTTAGCTGCTAAGCTACTTGTGCAATCAAGAAGAATAAACACGAAGACGATTCATTGTTCAAATTGTTTCTTCTGAAAGTAGCGTTTTGTTCTCTTGATCTTGGAAAATGTCCCGGTTTCTGAAAAGTATGTGCTCTGGGTTCCTGACCCAAGTTGATTTACATATGCTTCTGGGTTCCACAGTTCAATCCCCTGCACAGGAGTGAAGCCTAAACTTGAACTCAGTCCTGATCTGCTTCCGTAATTCTTCTTAAATTTCTTAGCTACTTTGGCACCAAGCTTGCTCTGCCCAACAGATACACGTAATTTGCCACTTCCAGCCTGACCAAGCATTCCATATCCCTCACCCAAACCATCCCCCAATGAGCTCTCTTCAGCTACTCCAAACTGCATTCTGTTAGCCAGCTTCTGCATGTCTGTAGTGGCATACCTTTCTTTCATCTTCCTCCGTCTACATCCACCCCTCTTTCTTTTAGGTTCAGAATATGGAACAGGAAGTGGTCTAGGCCGTTTGGCAGGAGGTAGCTCTTTCCATTTCTTTATCTTCTTACGAAACTCTTCTAGGAGAGACCGCCCAGTTTTCCCCGTTGGGTCTCCCCTTGTTGAATCAACACGTGCAGCAAGAGTAGCCTTTGCAGCTAAGGGTCGACAGGCACGCGTCCTTAAAGAAGGAGGTGTGCTCTGAAATATTTCTGTCTCCTCAAGGAATCCAATGCGAAATTTTGGTGTAGAGAACCCAGCAAGGTTGCTCTTTTTAGAGCCAAGAAGCTGCACATTACAAGCAGGCATCTTTGCCAATGAGGAAAGACCACCAGCAATCCCCATAAGTTTTGCAGCAACACCACTTCCTACCATAGCTGAGAGGTTTGGAGCAATATACCCCATTTGACTCTTAACGAAATCTAGGAGTTTCTTCTTTGCTGAATCAAGAGCAAATGCATCACAAGAAGCTTCAATTGTCTTCTGCAACACATCTTCAGGCAGTGGGTTGCCATTTGTAGTTGATGCTGTAACCGAAACAATCATGATATCAGGTGGAGGCAAAATTCCTTTCAGATCAACAAGGGTGAGGTCCATCTCATTCCCAATTTTCTTAACCACCCGGGCATAGTCAATTGGTTGGTGAACAATAGACTCCAACTCTGGGAATTTTGAGCGGTACTTATCACGTATGAAATTATGAATTATAATAATTTCATTCTCAATATCAACTGACAATGCATTACAATCTACAATCAGCTGGTACACCGGATCATCATCTTCTAGAACCATCACTGTTTCTGAGTTTTCACAACCCTTTTCTAGGGCTTCTTCTACTTTCTGCATAATATTGATGTAACGCTGGGTCCTCTGCAATTTAGAGACACTATCCAGATCATCATAGTTAAGCTCACCATCAACATCTTCCTCCATGTGCTCAGCATCGAGAATATCAGCTTCATTGTCAGATAATTCATCCAAATCTGCTAAGAAAGAATCCGCCATAGATAATTCATCCAAATCTGCTAAGAAAGAATCAGCCATGATTTTAGGTCTCACCTTTAATGGCTTCTCGATCTCGAATACGTTTTTTGAAGACTGGAGAACAATGTTGGGGAAGTAATTTGACTCTGAATTTCAAATCTTCGATTTCCAGCCGAAGAGGCGGAGACTGGAAGCAGAAACACTCAAACACCTAACTTCGTCGGAGACCGGAAGCAGGGGAGGCGGAGTTCAAAGCTCTACTCGGCGTTGTCGCCGGGACGGAGAGCGAAAATCGCAGGGGAGAGAGACGGGGGCGGAGATCGTAAATCCTCCCTTCCCTTCCGCTTTTTAAACCCTAAATTCCCTGCCTTCTAGAATATATTTTCAGTATTCAATATTAATGTTTGAGAGTACATGAAAGAATATATAGAGATGCTAGATATAATCCTATTCTAACACGAATAATATATTCCTAGTCTAATATAGATAATAGAGTCCTAATAAATAAAGGATTAATATTAGATGCTATACACCGGCAGAAAATGCAGAGATGACACATCATTAAAAAAATAAAATTGATATTAATTGAGTACTTTCTTACAAAATATTTAAGATTTGTATTTTTTAGGAAACTCTTTTTATTTCTAATTAACAAAAATATATATACTTTCTTAAACATATTTATTACTTAATTATTATATATATCAAATTATCTGATTATTATTAGTGAAAGATTAATAACCTGCACGTTAATTAACATTATGCATCACATATTAATTTATTAGTTAATTATTGGATTAATTCATTATTTAATTACTGGATTAATCCATTAATGTGAATTAACCTGTAAAAGAATTCTAATGAACAATAATGTTAATTAACAGGTTCTTTACTCAAACTATTATAATTAAGAATTCTAATTGATATCTAAAAATAAATTTCTAAATTATTATATTTATAATTAAGAATTCTTTAATTTTAAATTTTTAATTAACAAAAAGACCATCTAATTTCCTATATCTATATTAACTCCTAAATCTATTTAAACCCCTAAACAAGCCACCGCTTCCGGTCATCGCCGCTAACCACCATCGCTGCTGGTTTAGAAAAAAGATACAGGGAGATGGAGGCTGTGGGATCTGCTGTTAAGGCGCTGGGAGAATAAAGAGAGAGAGACGGAGGTTGCTGGTCAAAGAGAGATGGAGGTTGTTGTATCTACACTGGAAATCAATTTCTGGGGAGATGAAGCTGGTGGACAGTTGTCAATTTTTTTTTTTTAAGAAACATTTTAAAATTTTATTTTATTTTTGGATAAAGTTGTAAAAAATTATGTTTATAATTGTAATGGATTACTTATTATTTTAGTGTTTAATGAATATTATTTGCTTTTGTGTTTTGTCATTTTTCACTCATTTTCTGGAAAATGAACCAAACACACAAAGACAATTTTCTGTTATGCAGCCAAACACCGGAAAGGAAAATATTTTTCGAAAAATGACCCATTTTTCGAAAAACATTTTCCAGAAGTCATTTTCCTGCTTTCCAAACGGATCCTTAATTAAGGATGCATTTAAAAACCCAGAAAATGACTTACGGAAAATGTTTTCTGAATTTTCAGTGTTTGGCAAGAGGAGGAAAAATGAGGTCAATGAAAAATGATTCATTAGTCAAAGGAAAATACGTATGTTTTGGGAGAAAAATGACTTCCCTTTTTTTAGGAAGTCATTTTCCAACTCTTCTTCCTCTAGCCTCTTCCTCCTCACATAACTTTCTTTACTTCTCCTTTCATAGTGTATATATATATATATATATATATATATATATATATATATATATAATCCTAAAGGCTTAGTGTTATTTATAGAAGAATTTTATCAAAAGTACCAAACAATTAAAATGTTGAAGTATACAATTCTATTCATTTTCCTGCTTATTTTCTAGAAAATGAACCAAACACACAAAGACAGTTTTCCGTTGCGCAGCCGAACACTAGAAAGGAAAATATTTTTTAAAAAATGACTTATTTTTCAGAAAATATTTTTCAGAAGTCATTTTTTAGGTTTCCAAACGGACCCTAAGTCGAATTCAAATTAGTTTTACATTAGTAAAAATATTAAAATATTTAGGTTAGCTATATCGTCTTTCTCCGAGTAAAAGTCAAACTCTATGGGCATAATGCGAATCAAATTTTATTTGCAAAATATAGCTATTCTTTTTTACTTGAAATCATGGTTGAAAAAATATAATTACTAGACGCTCCTAGGTGTCCATGTATTTTTTATTTTTTAAAAAATTTGTTTAAAATTTTTAAATTCTTTAAAACTTAATAATTATAAACTATTTAATGTTTTAATAATTAATACTAAAATATTAACTATTAACCTAAAAAACATATAGAATTTGAACTATTTAGGGTTATTTCGCTTAAAACAATGTCATTTTGAGTGAAATAACCTATTAGAAAAAAAAGAAAAGAAAAAAAAAACTAATCGGCCGACTAGACAACCTAGTCGATGCTTAGGCGGCCTAGTCTAGTCGACGCCTAGCCGCCTAGACCACCGATTATGATGATACGTTAAGTGCCGATTAATCAGTGTCTAGACAAGATTTTTGCAATACTTGAAGATAATAGTAGGCAGAGACGGGGCCAGGGGGCAGGGGTAGCTGCCCCTCCCCCCCCCCCCCCCTCACCCCACCCCCACCCCATATATAGTCTTTGTATGTATATATGTATATATAGTACAAGTTTTAGTATTAGTATAAAAAACTATAAAATGTGAATAAGAGTGATTTAGATTAGGTGGTAGACCACATATTTGGCATTAGTGATGTCAAGGTTTCAAATATTGGTATTAACATAGTTTTACAATTCATTAATTATGTTTCATATTTTGTTATGAATATTTTTATAAAGTTTCGATGTGTTTTATTTTTCGTCCATATCCAATAATATTTACAACTATATTCTCTTTTGTTTTAATGTTTCGCTTTTACTGAAAAAAATTTCTGAATCCGTCTGTACTATTTCGTCCCCCCTCAACTAAATTTCTGACTCCGTCCTGATAGTAGGTATTCTCAAGTCAAGGCAACACTTAATTATTATTTATAAATAAATGTACTTGGCTAGATAGACCAAAAGTGCCGTCATTTATTGATAAGGCGCACTATTATTAACCAAATAGAAAGGACCTAATATCCAGGAGGAATGTAAACATCTTCCTAAAATATAAGCTATATCAATTGTACTTAGCTAATAATGAATATAATGTTGTTTCATTCCCAATATTGTACTTTTATTCTTGCAACAATCACTCTGACAACTCTAATCCTCATCAGACTGTCGTTAATTAATGCATTTCCACCTCCTCTACTCTTATCTCGTAATATAACTCTAAACCTCTACTTCCCATTTTAAGTTTATGCGGCAAATTATGCCCTGGACCCGTGTCCACAATGAATGTGGACACGGGCCCAAAACGATGTCGTTTTTAAAAAAAAAACGCGTCATTTAGTTTTTTTAAAAAAATTTGCGCGTGTTTTGCCGTTAACGACGTTATCTTTTTTTGGATTATGAATGTACAGTTATGCAATTATGAACACAGAGCTCTAACATTATGAACTTACAATTATGAACATATAGTGATAAAATTATGACCATGGAGCTTTAAAATTATTTCGAAGATTATGAATGTACAATTATGGAGTTATGAATGTACAGTTATGGAGTTATGAATTTACAGTTATGGAGTTATGAATCTACAGTTATGAGATTATGAATCTACAGTTATAGAATTATGAATGTACAGTTATTGATCGAATTATGAACAAAGAGCTCTAACATTATGAACTTAAAATTATGAACATATAGTGATAAAATTACGAACATAGAGCTCTAACATTATGAACTTAAAATTATGAACATAGAGCTCTAAAATTGTGAACATAGAGCTTCGAAAATTATGAATGTACATTTATGGAGTTATGAATGTACAATTATAGAGTTATGAATGTACAATTATAGAGTTATGAACGTACAGTTATGGAGTTATGAATGTACAGTTATTAACATATAGTAATAAAATTATGAACATATACTCTTATAACGAAACGGTCTAAAATTACAAAAAAAAAAAAAAAAAAAAAAAAAAGGGGGATAACTGCCTAACGATAGTGTTACTTGTGTCCATAGCATAACGATTGAGTTTATGCTATCACATAAGATCTTGATTGGACCTGATCCAAAGTATAAAAATGTTGGAACTTGGGCTAGCATTAAAATCTAGTTACGAGTAAGTGCAAGTGTAGTGTGTATGACAACTACAATATATACTTTTTTGAGTGACAAAAAACTCTTAATTAATCACTACTCGGTAGTGATAGTGTGTACTGTGTACGATAATTCTTATGTTCTGATCTTAAGTAACAAAGGGTCAAGTAAATTAATCTAAATTAAAGAGATAAAGTAATCTAAGTTATATATAATTAACTTACTCACTCAAATTAAAAATGTTAATAAACCGTTCTTGTTAAGAGTCGCTCAAATTAAAAAGTAAGAGTCAAATTTATAACCTTGTAATTATTTGGAGTTGTGTCTAAGATGTAAAGTGATTACTAAATCAATAATTTGACTAATTTAATTAAAATCATCTCATATTATAAAGTTAAGAGATAGCTTCCATTAAAAATTGAACTTATAATTTTGTAATTATCCTGACCAATTTAGTGAGATTACCCAACCAAAAACATGTTATTGTTATTGTTAATACGCAACTAGATAGACAAGCACTGCCAAATTTCAACATCACCTTTCTTCGGTAGTTGTTGACAAGTGTCTGTGCTGACTCTTGCATTGTTTGTCTTTGTTGGTATAACAGTGCACGTGTCACCCTCCGTTTAACCCACTCCACTATTGAGTCCTTATCATCTCCCATTCTGCAATGGTAGTAATCACCACCATCCAAAATGCAATCGGAAGCGACCCAACCGCCGGCGCCGGCGCCCCCCAACTTCTGGGGCGACATGCCGGAGGAGGAGTACTACGCCTCCCAAGGTGTGCGCCACACCCACTCATATTTCGACACCCCTAACGGAACCATCTTCACGCAGTCGTTTCGTCCCCTGGACGACAGCCAACCGGCGAAGGCCACTGTTTTCATGACCCACGGCTACGGCACTGACTCCGGCTGGCTTTTCCAGAGGATATGCATAAGTGTTGCAACGTGGGGGTACCACGTCTTTGCCGCCGACCTCCTCGGCCACGGCCGCTCCGGAGGCATCCGCGGGTACATCGGGGACATGGACAAAGTGGCAGCCACGTCGCTGTGCTTCTTCGAGAGCGTGAGGTATAGTGAAGAGTACAAGCACTTGCCGGCCTTCTTGTTCGGGGAGTCCATGGGCGGGCTGATCACCACGCTCATGTACCTCCAGTCAGAGCCCGGAACCTGGACCGGCCTCATCTTATCGTCTCCACTTCTCGTCATCCCTGAGAACAGGAAGCCCTCGAAGGTGCTCCTGTTCATGTACGGCCTGCTGTTCGGGCAGGCCGATACATGGGCAGCAATGCCAAACGAGGAAGCTGTCGGGAACTCCATTAGAGACCTTGAGAAGCTTAAAATCATGGCTAGAAATCCAAGGAAGTACGTAGGAAAGCCGAGGGTCGGAACCATGAGGGAAATAGCCAATAAAACCGAGTACATTCAGAAAAACTTCGACAAGATCACCGTACCGTTTCTGGTTGCACATGGTACAGCCGACGGGGTGGCATCTCCTGCCGGAGCAGAAATGCTGTACGAGAAGGCAAGGAGTGAGGACAAGACCCTGAAGCTGTACGAAGGACTGTATCACTCCTTGATCCAAGGCGAGCCCGATGAGGATGCCAATCGAGTTTTGGCTGATGTCAAGGAATGGATTGATGAAAGAGCAGCCAAATATGGACCAAAACATAATGCATAATGCTAAGGGTGACAAAGAATCAGTTGTATCAGCTGTTTCCTTTAGAACAACAAGAACTATATCCTATGTATTTTGAAATCAAATACAATAAAGCTTTTTCAAGTTAGCCAAAAATAGCACAATAGCTTATTATTGTAAACTTCAAATAACACAGATTATTGATTCCGAAATACGTGCGCAGATGCAAATAATATAGAACACACAAGAAGAGAGATGGGAGTAAAAGACTGTTATTACACTGCACAAAATACCCTACATAACTCACTAAGCCTTGGATGGCCAAGATGCTTGAGCTGACATGATTATTCCCACAATGACACCAAACAGCCCCAGTGCGCTACCAAAAATCTCAATCACCAGAATTTTGACAAAAAGTGTGGAGTTTTGTGCATCAGATAAAGCACAGCTGCTACCGATCACTCCAACGCACAGCCTTTGTTAGAAGAAGAGGAAAAATAATCAGAAACCTTGGAATAATGCAGAGGTTATGACTATAAGTCTATAACTAAAATGTAATGGGATGGTATATGATGAAATAGCAAAAATATTTTGCGACTATAACTAAAATGTAATGGGATAGTATATCATGAAAAAGGAGAAACATTTTTAGCCTACCCGCATACAAGATTGGCAAAGCCAACAATTATCCCTGAGGCAAAAATTGCATAGCCAGCTGTGAGGGACTCGTGTGCATGCATCTGGGAGGAAGGAACAGTCTCAAGCTTCGTTTGGAGAATGATAGCCACAATGACACCATATATCGCAACTGCCTCGCAAAAAATTACACTGAAAAAAGTGGAGCATAAGCACATAAGCTATAAAGCTATGCAGTGGCATTGGAAATATTACAAACTACACTCCCTTTTCTGGTATTTCCACCGTGTTGGAAATCTTTAAATTATACTCCCTTCTAAAAATGTTTCCACGGTTGAAAATCTTTAGTCAAATTCAACTAATCAATCTAGGTTTGGAAAACAGTTTTAGCCATTGCCGGCACTTCATATAATAGTTTTATAGTTAAATTACACTTTAAAAGTGAAATTTCAAACAACTTCTGGGATGAGAAATATTTGGGGTTGCATTTGAAATAGAAGTAGGAAAATTCTTTATTCCCCTCCTAAATTTCCCCTCCAATAATTTATCTCTTGATGTGGCTTCCATGAATGGGCTGACCCACCACTAATTAAAAAGAGAACTTACTCACCAATTAGATTATTGACACGTCATGAGGGATGAATTGGGAGGAGAAAAATAGGAGGGGTATATAGCATTATGACTCATAAAAGTAACATATAAGACTGGTTCATGAAGAAAGGTGGAGATATGATGTGCAGCTATAGCAGTGGCTTAGAATTGGTATTACTCATTAAAATATTAACAAGGAATCAAGGATTTGAATCCAAGCACAAATGACCAAAATGAAACGGCAGAAACTAGGATTAGATTGAACAAAGAACTAAAACAAGAATGAAAATTGAGCCATTTCAGTTTCTTTCAGTTGAATTATACAATTTGTGGTTCTTGTCTCCAATCTGTAAGTCTACTAATGTATATGGGCTTTTTTTTGGGGTGTAGCCCAGGGTTTCCACCGTCGGACACAGTCACACAATGATTAATCGCCTCAATGAATTGTAGACACCTCTATTGGGTGGGAACCTAGAGATTTAAGGCTGCTCTATACCCAAAACCAAGGATCGAACCCTTGACCTTTGGAATTGATGATGACTATAGAGAGCCTTCTATCTAGAATTCTTACAGAACAACACAATTTCCACTATTTTACCTACATCATACTTCCTAGAGAAAGAAGTATTCAGCATTGTGATTTTTATTCCATTGCTATCAGTGACAATATTCTTTTCTGTTGATTTGCAGTTTTCTGTACACTCTAAAGATAAATTAATCAAAATAGTAGTGTTAACAATTAGAGCAAAAGTTGTTCCATATGAGTGACTATCTTAGTGAAAAGGGCTACACATGAATACTGTTCATTCCTCCTGAACAGATTCCCATCAAATTAAGAATTAATATGTGATTAATTATACCAATAAAAATTAGAATAAGCTTGTAAGTTCAGTCTCCAATACATTAAGTTTAATGCGTTCTCCAAAAAGAAAAATCTAATACTTTCAAAACGAATGGTATACTGGGGGATAAAAAAAAATCCAAAAAACGAAATAGAAACCGAAACAAAAGTACCTGATGAGATTTTTGGAGGTAATGCGAGGGGCTTTGATCGCAGCGCCAATCAAACTACTTCCTGTTATATAGATCCCCCTAAATAGCAAAAATTATAAGTGAGTTAAGGTGTTGGAAACAGGAAAAACGTCAGGAAATTGAATCAATAGAGGCGAAAATAGAAGAGGATATTTACCAGGCAGCACCGAGAACTGAAACGCCGATTGAGATGGCAATTCCGATGGCGGAGAAGGTGTAGGGAGAGATCTGCGTCAGCGCTCGCGACCATGAGCTTGAATCGCCACCCATCGTGAGATCGGAAGTTCGCCAAGTATGGATTCAGATTTCAGAGATCGGTAGATAGGGGAATGGGGAAGGATGAAGATGGAGAGAGAACTTTGGGCCGGAGCGAAGTGACGCTTAACCCTTCGACTTGATTATATTTAGGTTGTTAATAAAATTGGGCTGAAGGTCCAAATATGAATTTCTGTTTGTGGAGGGCACGAATTAGCCCAATTATTGTTGGGCGGCAAATTATGCCGTGCACCAGGGCGCACAATGCATTGGGCGCCCTGGCCTAAAACGACGTCATTTTGAATTTTTCGCGTATTTGATGTTAAAAAAAATAAAAAATATCACATTTCGAATGTACAGAATTGTATAATAGAAACACAGAATTTTATATATGAAAACACATAATTTTTATAACTAAACATTCCCATGTTTTGAATGTACAGAATTGTATAATAGAAAACACATAATTTTATACTTGAAAATACATAATTTTATACCTGAAAATACATAATCTTTTTTAAAAACACAAAAATCATCTGTTTCGAATGTACAGAATTTTATACCTGAAAAACATATAATTTTATAACAGAATACAAAACGACGTCGTTTTGGGAGGCGCAAGGCACTGTATAACGATTGTTGTTGGGCTGTTCACTGTTGGCCTCTCATATTCAATATTTTTATTTAGGGAAAATGGCATTTTTTCCCCCTGTGTTATATACTTATAGCATTTTTTCCCCCTCAGTTATTCAAGTGGCTATTTTTTCCCCTAAAATGTTAAATGGACATATTTACCCTTAAAATAAATATTTTATTTATTTTTCTTCTACAACAAATTATGACCATGATTCGGTTCAAACCGAACAGACACTATAGCAACTATAGCAACTAAACTGAAATATTCCAATTACAATTTAGAATCGAAACTTGATATTTATATTTTATTAAAATCGCGAACCGAAACGGTCAGTTCATGTTCTGAACTGAAAATAAAATAAAATACATTTATTGTTGAATTTGGACTATTTTAAAAATAAAAATAAAATGTTAAAATAAAGAAGATTCAAAATCGCGATCCGGATCCGGAACCGCTGGTTCACGGTTCAGAAACAAAATTTTTTTATTCATAATTTTAATAAACTGAAATCTAAATATTGGGTTCTGGATCTAAATCATAATCGGAAACTTTCAATTCGATTGCTATAGTGTCCGGTTCAGTTCGAACCGAACCGTGGTCATCCCTACGTATAAACAATAATTTGTTGGAGAAGAAAAATAAATAAAATGTTTACTTTAAGGGTAGGAATGTCAATTTAATATATCAGGGGGGAAAATTGTCACTTTTAGAATAATTGAGGGGGCTAATGTGCTTACATAAATAACTCATGGGGAAAAAGTGCTATAAGTATATAACTCAGGGGGAAAAAGTGTCATTTTCCCTTTTATTTATATTTAGTTAAATGCTCTGTTTGGCAGAACTTAGAGTTAATCAGTGATTTGGTCCCTCAATTATTAGTGAACTGTCAATGTAGTCCCTTAATTGCTTATTTATCGATTTGGTCCCTGAAAACGATTATTTTTAGTCAATTTAGTCCCTCCGACCGTCGATTTGGTCCCCGAAAATAATTATTTTTAGTCGATTTAGTCCCTCCGGCCGTCGACAAAAGACGGCCAAAGTAACTAAATCGACTAAAAATAATTATTTTTGGGGACCAAATCGATGAATAAGCAATTGGGGGACTACATTGACAGTTCCCTAATAATTGAGAGACCAAATCATTCATTATTTAGGAGCTTATAGCTTATAGCTTATTTTAAACTATTATAAGCTATAAGCTCTGTTTGGTAATGTTTTCAAAATAAGCTCGTAACTTAAAATAAGATCTTATTTTGGAATGCTACATTAGGGCTCTGTTTGGCAAACCTAGCTGAAAAGCTATAAGATAGGAGCTGAAAGCTAAAAATGAGCTGAAAGTTGAAAAGCTATAAGCTCGGAGCTGAAAACTGAAGAGCTGTTAAACTAGCCATTATGATTGAAAGTGTTTGGTAAAATTAGCTTTTTGATAAGCTGATACATGTAAAAAGACTAAAAAGGACATCATCATAAAATTTAAATTAGTTTGTTTACATATTATAATTTAACATTTTGTCTTTAAAAAAAATTAACATTTTGAAATAAAACTATTAACATAATCATGATTTAGCATCTCATAATGAAGAACCAATATTGTTGCAAATCTCCTAATAATAATAATAATAATAATAATAATAATAATAATAATAATAATAATAATAATAATAATTGCGGTGAAAGTTGCGGATAAAAGAGAAGATAAAATAGTTTTAATTGGGAAGGGTAAATTATGTCATTTCTTTAAAATAATAAGGATAAGGATGGAAAAAAAAGTTAAGAAGCTAGGAGCTTATTTTGAAATGCTACCTAAAGTAGCGTTCCAAAATAAGCTCTTATTTTAAGTTAAGAGCTTATTTTGGGGAACATTACCAAACAGAACTTATATCTTATTAGTAGCTTAAAATAAGCTATAAGTTCTTAAATAAGCCCTGCCAAACAGAGCCCTAGGTAGCGTTTCAAAATAAGCTAGTAGCTTCCTAACTTTTTTTTTTTCTTCATATTTGTCCTTATTATTTTAAAGAAATGACATCAATTATCATTCTCAATTAAAAAATTTATCTTCTCCTTATCAACTTTCACCGCAATTATTATTATTATTATTATTATTATTATTATTATTATTATGAGATGAAGGAGATTCGCAACAATATTGTTACTTCATTATGGGATGCTAGATCATGATTATAATAATAATTTTATTTTAAAATGTTAAATTTTTTTAAAGACAAAATGTTAAATTTTAATATGTAAACAAAATAATTTAAATTTTATGAAGATGTCATTTTTTGTCTTTTTACATTTATTAGCTTATCAAAAAGCTAATTTTACCAAACACTTTCAAGCATAACAGCTCTTCAGTTTTCAGCTCCTAGCTTATAATTTTTCAGCTTTCAGCTACCTTTTCATCTAGGTTTGCCAAACATAGCCAAAATGTACTCCGCATAATGCTAAGTAGGCAATTTATATCGTGCACCAGGGTGCACATTGCATTGTGTGCCCTGGTGCAAAACGACGCACTTTTTTTTTTTTTTTTTTTTTTTTTTTGTTTTTTGAAAATTCTGATTTTCCGTGTTTGTTGTTAACTTGTTAAAAAAATCATGTTTTGAAAATGTACATAATTGTATATGAGAATGTACATAATTGTATAACAGAATACACATAAACTTTTAACTGTTAAAAAAAATCACGTGTTCAAATGTACATAATTGTATAAAAAAAATATACATAATTGTATAAAATAATGTACATAATTTTATACCAGAATGTACATAATTGTATAACATAATGTACATAATTATATAACATAATACACATACACTCTGTTGCGTCGACTCCCCATACAACTTAACAAAACGACGTCGTTTTGGGAGGCGCGGGGCGCACAGTGCTATGTGCACCGTGGTGCAGGGTATAACAGTTGTGCTAAGTAGGGGTGACAATATGGATCAATTTTTTTAAACTGAATCGAACTTTGGTTCGGTAATATACCAAACAATCAAATGGTAATGAGTTCTTGTATACCGAATTGAACCTAATGGTTCAATAAAAAAATCGAACTGAACTGAATATCACTCGATTTTTTCTTTTTAATAATAATAATAAAGTAAATATATATCCCTAATTCCTAATTCCTAATCGCATACGAACACTGCTTGTCCACTCTGGCACTATATCTCGCATGTAAATCTACAATCGAACAAGTCTCACATGTTGCCTCGCCTAAGTTTATATGCTTGCATATGTATATGGACATTTCCCTCTAAGTTAAATTTAGGCGTTCAACATAATTAATGCATTCAAAAAGATTGGAACTTATTTTTTTGGTGTATGTATGTGAAGTGTGACTCTATGACACTTGAAGTGAAAATATTACATATAGAGTAGAACATTGTTGTTTATGGTTATGATAATGTGCTACTCATTTTGGTGATTTCATTTTTCATTCTATTTCAGTTATTTCTGATTTTGCTAACTGATTTGGATATGAACAAAAAAAAATGTTATACTATATAAATAACCTATAAAAGTACTCTGACTTCGCCCACTTGGGTTCTCCAAATAATATTTTTTAAAAAATATTATAATATCATTAAATGAGCTTGATTGAATTCAATGGATGTAGCATGAATTTTGATCCTCAATTAGTAGGCAAAATAGATAACTAATTAATTATTTATGGTATAACACTATTACATGTTGAGAATTGAGATTTCTAAATCGAACCGAACCAATTATTATTATTGTTGTTGTTGTTACATATATCAATGTAAATGGTAATTTTGTCTTTTGAATGTTTATTGCATTGATATTCTTTAATTAATCCAACCAAGCGCTCGAATGCATTTTTTAAATCTATTCCTGATCTATTTTATTTTCGATAGAATAGAATTTATTTTCTTTCAAAATTCATTATGTGAACCATACAAGTTGTAAAAGCCACGAGAGTAAAAATTGGCTCAAGACATTGGTCTAGTGAGAAACGTTGTCACTTCAAATTTACTTCCAGTAGACCAGTAATAAGGTAATGTCTCAAGTTATGCTACGAATATTAGAGATTTAAGTTTAAATTAAACTTCTTGTATTTAGAAATATATAATTTGGTATTGAATGTTGAAACTAGATTTACTCCATTTTATTTCGTCATAATAAATCTAGGGAAAATTGCACTTTTTCTCCATTTGTTATATACTTATAGCATTTTTTTCCCCCTAAATTATTTAAGTGGTCGTTTCCCCCCCCTGATATATTAAATGGACATATTTACCCTTAAAATAAATATTTCATTTATTTTTCTTCTCCAACAAGTTATAACCACGATTTGAAAAAATAAAATACATTAAGTGTTGAATTTAGAATATTTTAAAAATAAAAAAATAAAATTTTAAAAGAAAGTTTGAACCAACCGTTCAAATTGGATTCAAAATCGTGAACCCAAATATTATCAGGGGGAAAACCCGCCACTTCTATAATAATTGAGGGGACAAATGTGAATGCATGAATAACTCAGGGGAGAAAAGTGCTATAAGTATATAACACAGGGGGAAAAAATGCCATTTTCCCTAAGGTGAGTTCATGAATTTTATGGGGCACATGGTACGAGTATAACTAATAAGGTGATGTCTCAAGTCATGCCATAAATATTAAAGATTTAGGTTTAAATTAAACTTTTCGTATTCATAAAATGTATAATTTGGTGTTGAATGTTGAAACTAGATTTACTCCATTTTATTTCGTTATGAATCTAAGGTGAGTTAGTTCATGAATTTTATGGGGCACATGGTACGAGTATAATTTATCGAAGTTAGAAAATATGTGTTACTCTTCAAAAAAAAAAAAAAAAAAGAAAAAAAAGAAGAAGAAAATATGTGTTACTAAAAAAAAAAAGGTATATGAATGAGATAGTAAAGTGGATGCGAGAGCGATAGGTTGGGTTGCGGTGGTGGTAGGCGGATTCACGTGGTTTTCGCAGGTCCTCGGAAAGGCGTCCATGTCGTGGGGGACCAATTCCAATACACACTATGCTGCTCGTGTTCAGCAAACCAACGATACAAATTTCTCTTGAGCATGTGCCATGGCGGTTAAAGATATTTTGGAGCCTCTTGCCCCACTGGCCCAAAATAAAGTATGATATTTTGCGATAAAGAGAAATGATAGTTTTGGCAAAACTTCAATTTTATTCAATTAATGTATGATTAAAGTAAGTATATTTTACATATGATTGATTGATTGATAAATATTTCATAGATGATCTGATACCGTTAATGAAGATTTGTGTGTGTTTGTGAGAAAAAAAATGGTGCATGGCAGCACGTTCATGGAAGCTTATGAGATGTGTAGTTTGCTTCATTTCAAGTCAACAATGGCAACGTATATCTGATAAAAGTTGGGCGTTATTGGTGCACACAACACGCTTTTTTTTTTTTCCTCTTCTAACTTGCAAAACAAAAATCCAACAAAATATTCACCGAGTTTAGTGTAATTGGTTCATCGTTTGACTTAAAGGTAATGACTGAAAACCGTAATTTGGGGTTTGAATCTTACTTTGAAATATATATTGGATAACGGCCCAATAATTATGGAAGGTCTGGATTGGACCATTGTGCAAACCAATAGTTATGCTGTGCAACCGAATGTACCATGCGCATGGTGCATACGGTTCAAAACGACGTCGTTTTGATTAAAAACGCGCGTCCCACTTAAAAAAAAAAATCAGGTTCGACTCTCAGCAATGGCATTATTGTGGATATATAGTTATGAAATTGTGGATATATAGTTATGAAATTGTGGATATATAGTTATGAAATTGTGGATATATAGTTATGAAATTGTGATTATATAGTTATGAATTTATGGATATTTAGTTCATTCATTGTGGATATTTAGTTCAATCATATATTGTGGATATTTAGTTCATTCATTGTGGATTTTTACTTCATTCATTCATTCATTGTGGATTTTTACTTCATTCATTCACTGTGGATATATAGTTATGAAATTGTGGATATATAGTTATGAAATTGTGGTTATATAGTTATGAATTTCTGGATATATAAAAATGCTATTGCCGGGAATCGAACCTGATTTATTCTTTAAGTGGGACGCGCGTTTTTTTAACCCAAACGGCGCCGTTTTGCAACCGTATGCACCTTGCAAGGTGCATTCGGTTGCACAGCATAATTTGCGTTGTGCAAACATGAAGATTAGAATTTGATCAGTGCGCTGATTACACAGCTTGCGATTTATCTCCGCAATAGCTCTAGGGGTGAGGTCCTATGAATTTAAAATTAGTCCAACAAAACTATAATCACCTAAGTTAAAAAATAATAATAACAAAATAAAACAAAAAAAAAACTTAATTAATGATACTCTATCTTTTCGTCATTTCGATGGCAAAAAATAAATAAATATTAATAAATTTTGGCCAAATACTTTATATTCAGATGATATGTAGTAATTTTGAGATCGAGTCTTAATGAAAGCTTTGTTGACTCTTTATGCTTCATTATATTGAAAAAATATATTTGAACAGATACTAGAATGCATTCAAATAATAAATTTTGGCTACCAAACGCGCCCACACCTACTCTTATTTTGGTCGAAGAATAAAAAATTCAATTTATTGGTAGGTTTCAGATTTATAATTATATAATGGGAAAATGGCACTTTTTCCCCCTGAGTTATATACTTATAGCACTTTTCCCCCCTTAATTATTTAAGTGGCTGTTTTCCCCCCTAAAATGTTAAATGGACATATTTACCCTTAAAATAAATATTTTATTTATTTTTCTTCTCCAACAAATTATGACCATAATTTGGTTTAAACCAAATAAACACTATAGCAACCAAACCGAAATATTTCAATTACAATTTAGAATCGAAACTTGATATTTAGAGTTTATTAAAACCCCGGAACGGACGGTTCATGTTCCGAACTGAAAAAATAAAATACATTTATTGTTGAATTTAGACTATTTTTAAAATAAAAATAAAATTTTAAAATAAAAACGGTTCAAAATCGCGAATCGGGTCCGGAACCGCCAGTTCACGGTTCAGGATCCAATTTTTTTTATTCATAATTTTAATAAATTGAAATCCAAATATTGGGTTCTAGATCTGAATCATAACCAGAAACTTTTAATTTGATTGCTATAGTGTCCGATTCACTTCGAACCGAATCGTAGTCATCCTTACGTATACGCAATAATTTGTTGGAGAAATAAAATAAATAAAATGTTTATTTTAAGGGTATAAATGTCAATTTAATATATTAGGGGGAAAAACAACCACTTTTAGAATAATTTAAGGGGTTAATGTGCTTACCTAAATAATTGAGGGGGAAAAAGTGCTATAAGTATATAACTCAGGGGAAAAAGTGCCATTTTCCCTTATATAATTCTATTATGTGATTCTGTCCCCAATAATGAATTTGATACGATACCAGGACGGAGGCTATCCACCGTACAGTCATATATTTTATTTGACAAATACAGGCATCGTTGTATACTTTAATAAATTTCCTATTTCATAAAATATTTTGAATTGATAAATAGTCTTATTAAATAAATAAATAAATAATTCTATTTATCTCCACTCAAAAAAAAATAAATTATTAATTATTTAATAAAAAAACAAATTTTATTAGCTAAGTCACAAAACAAATTTTACTTACACATATTCAAGTAATTATGTAATAATTACTTAATTACAAACTTGTTCTTAACTCAAATCATATTCTTAATATTTGACTTTAGGAAAGTAACACGTGTATTGTGTATATTATATATAATAATAATGATGTATATAGGTATGTTTGTAAGTAATAACATTACTTAGTTACTAATTAAAAAATAATAATGATTTTAAATTTTAGCAACAAGGCAGTAAATTATATGGAGTAGAAATATAGAATAGATATTTTATTTGATTTTTGGTTAATTGTTATTTTTGTCAGTCTACTTTTGTCCCGTTGTGCCTCCCCCGTTATTCCAGAGCAGGGTTTGGTAGCGAGGAGGAGTATATATTGATTTTGTATACCGTATTCACAAGACCTCAACCTCCCGGATCCGCAGCCTTATCCCTCCCTCTCCTTCTCCGTTTCATCCGCTTTCTCTCATCTTCCGTCTCGTGAAGTAAAGGTCAAATCTTGGGGATTTCTTGGTGTGTTATCGAGACAGGGAGGGAAAGAGAGAGGGAGCGGGAAATACAGAGAGAGCTTGTGAAGAAATGGATACCATCTTACAAACTAGAGGGCTTCTATCTTTGCCTTCGAAGCCCAGAATCAGAGCTTCCTATCCAGTGCCTCAGGGGGGACTAAGGCACAGATTTAATGGTGCGAATGGTTTGAAAGCAAAACCGTTTGATGGGTTGTCTCTTTCGGCCGGTGGGTTGCCGAAATTGGAAGCTTTTGTTGGAAAGCCTTCGTTGGTTGCTCAAAGGGGGAGATGTTTCCCCGTCTGCAGGGCCGAGGCGGCGGCGGCGGAGGATGGGCAGCCGTTGTTAGGGGGAGAAGCGGCGTCGGAGTCGCCTAAGTTTATGGGCGTCGATGTTGCCACCCTGAAGAAAATCATCCCCCTCGGGCTCATGTTCTTTTGTATCTTGTTCAATTATACAATCCTGAGAGACACCAAAGATGTGTTGGTGGTCACGGCTAAAGGGTCGAGCGCCGAGATTATTCCTTTCTTGAAAACTTGGGTGAATTTGCCCATGGCAATAGGGTTCATGATTTTATACACAAAATTAGCTAATGTGTTGTCCAAGGAGGCTCTTTTCTATACTGTTATTCTGCCCTTCATCGCTTTCTTTGGGGCTTTTGGGTTCGTTTTGTACCCCCTCAGCAACTATTTCCACCCCACAGCTCTTGCTGATAAGCTTCTAAACATCCTGGGTCCGAGGTTCCTTGGCCCAATTGCAATTCTGAGGATCTGGAGTTTCTGCTTGTTCTATGTCATGGCTGAGCTTTGGGGAAGTGTGGTGGTTTCAGTCCTGTTTTGGGGGTTTGCTAATCAGGTAATGCTTTCCCAGTATCTTATTAGTTATGGGTTTTAATCTATAGATGCATGTATGCTTTAATATATATAAATTCTTCTCCTAGTCCTATACTAGGAAGCATAAATAGGGTATAGCTCAATTCTTTGTTTATATGATTCTTGATTTATCTGGGGTGATCAAATGTTATGCTGTAGAAGTGATTTATCTTGTTAGATTTTGATGTTTATTATGACAACATAGTGGTGTAGTGGATTCTGCAGCCATTCATTGATCTAATATGTAACTTTCACCTGAAAGTGATCTTAAATCAAGTCGAAAGCCTTGTTTCGACCAGTTTTGGTATTCTGAAAAACCTTTGTTGCTATTTCCGACCACTTTTTGCTTTCAACTTGATTTAAAATCACTTTCAGGTGGTTGGAAATTCCATAATTTCCAGTAGTGCTTTGCTTGATTGCTTGTGAAATTTTGGTTGTTTCAAACTGCTTAGTAAACTGGGTTACGTGATGCATTATATCTTTTCGGTTCATGTTTTAAGCATGAAACTTTCATTGATCTAATAGGCCGCTTGTTCCTCTATGTATTCTATGACCATGCCTCCGACTTTTGTACAATTGACCCTTGACTGTTTTGATCACTTTGTTACAGATAACCACGGTTGATGAGGCTAAAAAATTCTATCCTTTGTTTGGACTTGGTGCGAATGTTGCTCTTATTTTCTCTGGCCGTACAGTGAAGTACTTCTCGAATTTGAGAAAAAGTTTGGGTCCTGGAGTTGATGGTTGGGCCATATCCTTGAAAGGAATGATGACTATTGTGGTTCTTATGGGGCTTGCTATTTGCTCTATTTATTGGTGGGTGAATCATAATGTTTCTCTCCCTACCCGTAGTCAAAAGAAGAAGGTAACCAATCGAAACTGTTCTGCTTAGGATCATTTTTTTAAAAATGATTTTTAGGTGTTTTTACTACTCTACTGACTATTTTAACTCTTTTGCAGGAGAAGCCTAATATGGGAACAATGGAGAGCTTGAAGTTCTTGGCGTCTTCAAAATATATTAGGAATCTTGCCACATTGGTGGTGGCATATGGTATAAGCATCAACCTTGTTGAGGTTACATGGAAATCGAAGCTCAAAGCTCAGGTAACTGTTTAGAAACTAGAAAGACCTTGTGTTTTGATGTTGTTTTGTTTATTACTTTATTCCCCGTCCCATTTTTGAACTAGTTTTCTCATTCGTGCACATATTTTTGCAGTTCCCAAGCCCGAATGAGTATTCATCTTTCATGGGCGATTTCTCAACTGCCACCGGAATTGCAACTTTTACAATGATGTTGCTAAGCCAATGGGTGTTTGACAAGTATGGTTGGGGAGTAGCAGCAAAGATAACGCCAACCGTCTTGCTCCTTACTGGAGTTGGCTTCTTTTCCCTTATTTTGTTCGGTGCCCCCCTCGCACCTACTCTTGCAACGTTCGGGATGACTCCTCTTCTAGCGGCAGTTTATGTGGGCGCGATGCAGAACATTTTCAGTAAGAGTGCAAAATACAGCTTATTTGATCCATGCAAGGAAATGGCATACATTCCCTTAGATGAGGACACCAAGGTTCGACACCCCCCACCCAAATTTGAACCTATGATATAGTTTCTTTATATCATTTTTCGAAATGTTTTCTCAATGTTTGTAAATTGTTGTGTCATCAGGTGAAAGGCAAAGCCGCGATTGATGTAGTTTGCAATCCATTGGGGAAGTCCGGTGGAGCTTTGATACAGCAATTCATGATATTAACATTTGGTTCGCTTGCCAACTCGACTCCTTACCTCGGAGGCGTTCTCTTGGTTATCGTTCTCGCATGGTTGTCAGCGGCTAAGTCTTTGGATGTTCAGTTCACTGCTTTGCGACGAGAAGAAGAGCTCGAGAAGGAGATGGAGAGGGCAGCCGCCCTGAAAATCCCCGTCGTGTCTGAAGGTGGAAATGGTTCAGCGTCATCAGTGAACCCCATCGAAGGCGGCATCGAAGGCGGCGCTTCTGCTGAACCCTACCCCCGCCCCCGGAACGTGTGATGATGATTGATACCGATACCCCTTAGGCTCTTACATATCTTCCCGAATAATCGGAAGTTGTTAGGTGCAACAATTTGGAGAAGTTATTGAATGTTGTTTTGTCATAGGAATTTGTTATTATGATCAGTAGAAATAATCTGTAGTATAAAATCAGGCTTTGCACTGATTAAATTTTTCTCTAATATATATTTTAAGTCAAAGTTGTTTTCCCCTTCTTGCTGCATTATTGGTCCACTCACAACAAGCTGTTATTGCATCACACATTATGAAACAATACAACACAAAAATCAAGCCAAAAAGAATGTATGTATAGATAGATGAATTTGGTTTATATCTTCATTGCTTTGACAATTGTTTTGAAGGATGATTTGATGAAGCTTTTCTTGGCTGCTACTCCCTCTTCATCTTCTGTATCATCATAGTCTCCGGTCACCAATGGCTTCTTCCCCATGCAATCGACTCTCTTCTTCATGCCACTGAAGATCAGAGATGGAGAAGATGGAATGCGCCTAAATCCCCTTGCACTTTCCGACCTGGTCAGTTTTCTTTCCTTCACCGTTTTTTCACTTGTGTCAAAACTATCCGAATGTCTAACTGTTTTGCAGGTGGCATCCACGCTTTTTCTGGGCTGCAGTCTGTATGGAGGAGGATTCCGGGTGGGAGTGTTCTTGGCTTTCACCACCATAGCTGTTTCTTCCTGTTTCTCTTCGTTTTTTTCGTTCTCTTTGTCTGAGACTACCTGGTTCTTTGCCTCCTGCAAGTCTTTCACAGCTTCTTCTACATCATCCGAGCTTTCCAACAGCAAATGAAGCCATTTTTCAATGTTTCCTTTCCCACGTTGCTTTCTACTCTCTTCATCCTCCTCCTCTATTTCCGGTTCATGAAAAACTGGGAACTCGAGGTTGACAGATATCCCCTCCAGAAGTTTTTTCTCGCCCTCCTGGTTTTCATTCTCTACATCCACTGCATTTGTTCCGTGTTTCTCAAGTTGTTCCGGGATAATTTCATTCACGGGTTCTTGCTCTTGCTCTTCTTCGATGGCTGATAGTTCTGCTTCTGATGCTTTCTGTTCTTCCTCCAAGAACACTCTCAATTGCTTATGAATTTGGTCGCTCGAGTCTCTGTCTGGTAAATATAACACCAGCTTTCCATCTTTTTCTTGCGAATCCAGAGAAGTATTATTATCATTATCTTCAACTAGGAGATCCATTCTTGATCTTTTTCTTCTCTGCTCAAATTCCGGTTTAACTTGTAGCTCTAGCTCGTCTCTCTGCTTATATTTCTGGTACAATTCTTTCTCTGCAGAATCACAGATTGCTCTTTGAGCTTCAAGCCTTGCCATAAGTGCATTACTTGCAGCCAGATTCAATCTCACTTGTTCTTTATACACAACACTCCTGCAAACAGAGAAACAATCGCAGAAATTCCAATAAATTCCTTCGATCCATCACGAGAAATTATTTTATATCTTTACGAGTTTAACAATGGATCTTACTGATGCATGGCGTCTCGAATCATCTTCTCCAGCATTGCTCTATGTGAGGACTGTGCCTCGGCTAGCTTGCGACACTTCTCAGCACGCCGCCTTTTCTTGATCAGAATCGACTCCAAATCTTGGATGCTCACTTTCTCCTCCTCGGCTTTCTGCTTCAGATCACTCACTTCATCGTCTAATTTCTGTATTTCTCCCTGCATCTTTGCTGCTTCTTCGCGCTGTTTCAAAGAATTTCGGGCAATCACAATGGCCTGGTATGGATTGCTTACCATGTCAGGATCTTCATTTTCTTTCAGTTTCTTGGAAGCTGCTGCCACACAAAGAGTCATTGCTAAGCACATAAGCATTATATTCAGCTCAATCATAAGCTTTGCTTTCGAAGAAGTGTCTACCACTACGTCAAAAGCTATAAAAACTATATAACTAGTAGTGAGCGTTTATTAATTAGTACTACGCCAAAAGCTATATAGTTAGTAATAAATGCGCAACTTTATTCCCTTATACCGTCACATTTTCGAGAGGCAGGGTGCTGGACTTAGCATTTTAGGTCTCTGCCCAACAGCTAAATAACTAGTAGTGAGCGCTTACCACTACGCCAAAAGCTATATAGTTAGTAGCAAATGCACAACTTTATTCCCTTACCCCGCTACATTTTCGAGAAGCAGGATGCTGGAATTGCCTTTCAGGCCTCTCCTGGAATCACTCAACAATCCCCTAGCCACCTAACGTTAGACTTGACCTTTCGTTGGCCTTTGTCCAACAATTCGCGCTTACCACTATGTCAAAAGCTATATAGTGAGTAGCGAAGACGTAACTTTATTTTCTTATACCGTTACATTGGCATGGTGTTGGACTTAGCCTTTAGGCCTCTGCCAGACAATCCCTTAGCCACCTAGTGTTGGACTTGACCCTTCACCGGCCTCTGCCCAACAGTAGCAAATGCACAACTTTATTTCCTTATACCGCTACATTTTTGCCTTTCAGGCCTCTCCTGGAATCGCCCAACAATTCCCTAGCCATCTAACATTGGACTTGACCTTCCACTGGCCTTTGTCCAACAATTCGCACTTACCACTATGTCAAAAGCTATATAGTGAGTAGCGAAGACGTAACTTTATTTTCTTATACTATTACATTGGCATGGTGTTGGACTTAGCCTTTAGGCCTCTGCCAGGCAATCCCTTAGCCACCCCTAGTGGACTTGACCCTTCACCGGCCTCTGCCCAACAATATGCCCCTACACCTGACATCTTCCACTTGTTAGGATCAAGTGTTTAAAATTACGCCAGTGACGAATACACAACTTTATTTTCTTATACTGTCATATTTTCAAGAAGCATGGTGCTAGACATGCCCGTTTAGGCCTCCGCCCAACAATTCTCTAGTCACCTAGTATTGAACTTGTTAGGATCAAGTGTTTAAAATTATGCCAGTGACGAATACACAACTTTATTTTCTTATACTGTCATATTTTCAAGAAGCATGGTGCTAGACATGCCCGTTTAGGTCTCCGCCCAACAATTCTCTAGTCACCTAGTATTGAACTTGCCCCTTCACCGACCTCTACCCAACAATTTGAAACTAACCTATTATAGGGGTGCTTGATCTTGGCCTTCTGTTGATGTCCAAAGACTTGAGAGCTGAATCATAAGATTCCCTCCTGCTGAGAACAACAGCAGCTGGAGCAAGGCCTATCTTCTTTTTCGATTCCATATAATGTTGAGGGAAAACATGGGAATCTACTGTCTGAGATTCATTCAACTCTTCATTTTCCCCTTCTGGAAACAGCCATGAAAATCCCCTGTGCCTGAACAACAACAAAAGCCTCTCATCAAAACCATCTTCTTCTCCATGCATTTGCTTCAGAAAACATGAGCAGAACAAACAGCTCACCTGAAATCCGAATTCGTCGAGGCAAAGATGGATAAAAACTGGTTTATGGATAAGCCAACTTGAAGATCCCACCATGGTATGAGAAATTCTAGCTGGTTATGCTTTTTCTTGCAAACTTGCCACTGTAAAATTCTTAGATTACTTGGAACAGTTAAACCCCCTCCTGCATATTACCCACAAAACAGCCATGAAATCACAGAATGTTCTAACTTCAGACTCAAACATAGAACCCAAAAAGCAGTGTAGCTTACTTGAACAAGGAAACCAATGATCAATATGCCATGCCAGGGGTGAAGCTGAATCAGCATGATAGTACACAACATTTCCATATGGATCTACCCGAAATTTTTCAGGATCAAAGCCTGCATTCCTGCAATTTTACAGTAAGAAAAAAACCCATTGATCAAACTTCATCTGAAAACTCCAAACATGAAAAACAGGGAGTAAAAATTCAATCTTTTTTTTTTTTTTTTTTTTTTTTTTTTTTCCGGGTGACGAGAGAAACCCGAGCCACTGCCCGAGGGCGTGCCCTTAGTAAAAATTTAATCTTTTTTTTGGGTGATGAGAGAAATTCATAGTGAGGACGTGCATTGAGTAAAAAATTCAATTTTTTTTGTTGGATGATGAGAAAAATCGCAGTCATTGCCTAAGGACGGGTAAAATTTAAATCTTTGCATACCCAAGATGGTTGAGTTGCTTCCACAGGAGACTGACAAAAATCTTAGCCTTTGCTGTGGGTTTGGCATTCGGATCAATGATGGGAAACATCTCATCCAATTCCTTTGATCTCAAAACCTGGGAAAATCCGAAATGATCAAGATTTCATAACCATGGCAGCTAATAGAATCATAGAAACTGCAGAAAGCTAGCGGAGAAGTGTTTTGATTACCTCTTGGGGAGGCAGGGCGTAAGGAATGAAAGTGAAAGGAGGGGCGCGGCTGTAAGGGCTAAAGCTTCTGTCTTTACACAGCAAAGCAAACGCTTTCGGGTAGCCGAGGTTGTCGTCGACCGCCATCTCATCCGCCGTAAAAACGAAATCTCCGGCCGCCATTGTTGTCAGTAGCTAGAGTTCACAGAATTTCTGACACAGAACAAGCAGTGGTACTGGTTTTGATGATATGGAAGAGAAGACTAACGGTCGAGTGTCTTTTTAATTTTAATTTTGTTTTTTTTTGGGTGTTTTTATTCTCTGTTTCAAAAAGTTCAAAACAACATGCAACGGCTAGATCACCTTACCTAACGTTGCCAGTAGGATAAAAGACTTATGCACGTGAAAGGACGAAACTACCCTTACTGGGCCCAATGGGAGCCTACTGGTAATTATTATTCCCTCCATCGCATTTTACCTGTTTTACTTTTCTTTTTTTTAGTTTGTTCCAAAATAATGTCATCTTTTCAAAATTGAACATAATTATCTCTCTATATTTTCCAATTTACTATTTTGACTTTTCAAATTTCTAGAGGTAAGTACTGATGGGGAATATACCCCGGATTCAGGCTCCCCATACGCTCCGTGCTCGTGCTTGGGTCGGGGTCAAACGGTTTGGGTCCCGATCCACGCGTCAAGGTCAACCCGCCAACCCTTGACCCTATAAATAGGGCCTTAGCCCTCCAAGTTAGAGGGTTCTTCCCTCTATCTAGCTTGTAGCTCTCCATTCTCTCTAAACACATACAATAACATTAATAAAAGAGGCTCATTTGCTATATCTCTTCTTGTTCTTTGTTCATACATTTACATACATCCTACGTATGCGGGAATTAGTACTATTAAGTACAACAATTGTACTTTGTACAAATAACACCTACTTTTGAGAGACAAAATTGAAAAGTTAGTAACATTTGTTATGTTGTATTAAAACTCGTGCAAAAAATAAATGAGACATTCAATTAAGGAATATAGGGAGTAATTGTGAAGACTTGAGGGTGTTTTAGTAAAGTGAAGTTGATGCCTTTTGACTCCTCATTAACCCAGGTTTGAGCCGTTGGGATATTACATCTGTACTTGTTCTCAAATCAAACATTTGTGAGTGTTGACAAAATCTAGTAAAAGCTCCTTTATGGATAACAATTATGTTGTTTGGTTGGGACATAATTACTCCATCCCTTCATGGCTTCACTAGCAGATATTCAAATTTTAAATATTATGTGATTTATGTCAAATATATAATTTTAGATGTGTACTCGATTATTGGCGAGCAAATCGTCGATTATTTGTAATCGATTGAAATAAATGTTATAATCTTTTGAATAATTGACCGTCGAAAGACATGGACCACATTTACAAATCGACAACAATTGAGTAATCAAAATTGCGGATTTTTCTTTATGCTCTGTAGTAAAAATTAAATTTTGTGGGTGCCGTCTCCGTTAAATCTGAATCGTCTCACATTAATAAAGATCTCTTAAGTATGAATTAACTGAGTCTTTTTCTAACTTAAAAAAACAACTTCATCTTTTTTTTTTTGAAGGTTTATACTGCTGTATATTAATGAATAAACTGAATAATAGAGTCAGGAGGGACAGAGTCCCAGTACATAGAATGCTCCTGATCAAATGCTAACGAAGCTAAGGTATGGGCATGTAAATTTAAATTTTTAGAAACATAACTCAAAGAACATTTTGCAAATAGCGATATAGCGGTCCTACATTGGTCGATGATGATCCCAAGGTAAGAGTAGTTAGCCGCACGGCTTGAGTGTAGATAATTCCGAAACTCCAAGCAATCCGTTAATATGTCCACCTCCGTAATATCCCGATTTTTAAGCCAAGATAATACCTCCTTACAAGCGAGCGCTTCGGCCATAGTAGCTGAGAGAGCTCCGGAGATCTTTCCACTTGCTGCTGCAATAAACACGCCATGGTGTGAGATGAGTACTGCTCCATAAGTCGCCTCCCCGGTATGTGATCTGTACCCCGCATCGACGTAACACCGTGGAGCGCTGCCAGCTCCGACTTCGGCTGCCGTGGCGGGCAGTGAGGTGAGACCGTGGGCCGTGATTGGCGATAGGCGTGGACGGCTGCCACCGATCGGTGCCAAGTCTGATTTGGTCTCGGGAGGGCATGATCCCATACCGCAGTATTTCGGGCACTCCAAATATTGTATAGAATAGCCGTAGCTAGACCACACTGCTCCTCTGACAAGACATTAAAAATCCCCATAAGCCATGTTGATAATGAATTAGTAAGAATATTAGTAACAGGCAATCCCGACAATTCCCATACTAATCTAGAATAATCACACAGTATTAATGCGTGCATGGCGTTTTCTTGCGTCGCACGGCACATTGGGCAATTCGGCTCAATCTCAACTCGCCTCCTTATTAGATTATCGGTAGTAGGGAGGATATCAGAAACTGCTCTCCACAAAAAGGTCTTCCATTTGGGTGGTATCCTTAATTTCCACAAAGTAACCCATTTATCAAAATCACCTGGGTTATGCTCATAATTCCCTTGAATCTGTCTATAGGCATTTTTAACCGAATATATTCCACTCATCTCCCCCTTCCAATACCATGTGTCCTCATAGTCAGGGCTGACAGGAATCATAGAAATTCGTGCCACATCCTCGGGAATAAATAGATCAGCCAAAATATGCGAGTCCCAGGTACTAGTTTGCTGATCAATTAATCCTGCCACCTGGGTATGTCGCAACTCCTCCGGCATTTCTGTCTGGACTAACGGACTGGGATTATCCGGTAACCAGGGGTGACCCCATATTAAAGTTTTTGCACCATTCCCTATCCGCCTTCTCACCCCGGAACAAACCATTCCATGCGCAAGCATTATACTTCTCCAGCAAAAACTTGGGCAATTCCCTATAGTAGCATCAACAAAAGAAGTATTCGGATAATACCTGGCTTTATAGATCCTTGCTGCTAAAGTATTGGGATTTATGAGAAAACGCCATGCCTGTTTTCTCAACATAGCCAAGTTAAAGGCCAGTAAATCTTTAAATCCCAAACCCCCATATTTCTTAGGGATGCACAACTTATCCCAAGCTTTCCAATGAATTTTCCTTTCAATCCCTGACCCCCACCAGTATCTATTCATGGTTCTCTCAATAGATGTGCACACTGTCTCAGGTAACAAAAAAACAACTTCATCTAGTCTCCTTAGTTTTTTTAAAAAGTGCAATTCAATCCAAGTGCTACTGCGTGATTTTTTGATACTTACATAAATTATAAGTTTACAATTTTTTTAATACAGTAGTTGTCAGCTATCTTAGAGAATACTATTGATGGTTGTCTTCAATATCAAGCAACCACGGTTGTTTGCATAAACAAACAAAATAATTATGATTGTCTTAAAAAATCAATTGTAAACTTAGGATCCACCTAAATACATGAAAACCATGTTCCAGGCACATAAGTAGTAGCAGAGAAGATAAACAATTTGTAATTAGAGGTTCAATTATACTAGTAGCTTGGCTAGAGTGTTTCTCTCTCTAGAGAGAAGTTGACTTCTCTCTAGAGAGCCAATTCTATGTGAGTTCATCCGATTTTTTTATGCAAGGTTTCTTCGATTTTCATTGAGCTTTGATTTATTCGAAAGAGTAAGGATTTCCGGTGGCTTCTTTGGTCAACCTTCAGCGATCGCAAGAAGTTTCCTTGGCTTTTACGTAGACTACAAAGAGGCCGGCGTGTCTCTCATCGGCGATTTCATCTTTTTTGTCCGTATCTGCTTGGATTGTTCGTAGACCACAAGGCTCATCGTCGACCTGCGTCTGTTTGCTTCGTAAACGACAAAGATGGCCGTTGACCGATGGTGTTTGACAAATCGCAACACATATTTGCGATGGTCCAAGGATTTCCGGCGATGGAGTATAATGCTTTTTCGGTGGATTTATTGAAAGCGATGGCTACCCCAGCCCCGATGGTGCCTCAGACGGTGACTGCTACAAGTGGTGGTCTCAGTCCAGGCGTCCTGTTCTGATTTACCGTGGGTTAGGGGCAAAGCTCGTTGACGTGTTTCCGGCGAGAAGTTACTGCTACGATGTTCTCCATGGCCTGAGGAGACCGGAGGTGTGCGTTTTCCTCTCGGAGGAGACCTGGTACGTTTCTGGTTATGCTTTGTCCGGCAAATGGTATATTACCGGCGTGTTCGTCTCTGTTTTTTGACCCCTGTATGTGGATGGTGCTTCTCTGAAATGGTGCCTGGAGTATGGACTGCATTGGAGATGTGTGGATGCTCCCAGTTTCCGATGGTCCTCGTTTTTTCCGGCCATGTTGGGGTGGTTCCGTCTGTGTTAGGGTGGTTGCAATGGGGGTGAGCAAAGGTCCGGTGTGTTCTGTTTGTTATTTCATCTTATTTGTGGATTTTTCTAATCTGAATTGGCGCTGGAGTTGGAGTGCGTTGGAGATGGATTAGGGTGCTCCCGTTCATCTGTCCGATGTCCCATGATTTTTCCGGTCAGTTTGGGTAGATTCCGTCCGCGGATGGGTGTTTCCGGCAAGGGTGTTCTTTGGCCATGAGTGGGTTTTGTTTGTCGATCGCAGCAGTTTGAAGTTTTTCCGGCGGAATCCGTGTCGCCGGCCGGTGTCTTGTCGGTGGATGGCAGCGGAGCTCCGGGGACTCTCCAGCGTTGACCGTAGGTGGTCTCCAGATGGTAACGCGTCTTTGCCGATTTGGGAGGTGACTGGATATGGTAGCTTCCGGATTTGGTGGTGATTTGATGCTAAACGCGTCTTGATTGTCGTTGATGAAGGAAGATGCACGCTGGACATGCATGGATTGTATGGATAGTTATGCTGTGGGCTCGTGCCGAGCGTGCTTCATGGGCACGGATAACGGTGCCGTCAGGCACCGTTATCTTCCTTTTTTTTTTTTTTTTTTAAATTTAATTTCAGACCGCTTCGTTATAGGAGCATATATTCACAGTTTTGTGTTCATAATTTCATAACTGTACATTCATAATTCCATAACTGTACATTCATAATTCTATAACTGTACATTCATAATTCCGTAACTGTACATTCATAATTCAATAACTGTAAATTCATAATTTTCGAAGCTCTATGTTCATAATTGTAAGTTCATAATGTCAGAGTTCTATGTTCATAATTTCATAACTGTACATTCATAATTCCATAACTGTACATTCATAATTCCATAACTGTACATTCATAATTCCATAACTGTACATTCATAATTCCATACTGTATATTCATAATTCCATACCGAACATTCATAATTTTCGAAGCTCTATGTTCATAATTGTAAGTTCATAATGCCATAACTATACATTCATAATTCTATAACTGTACATTCATAATGTCATAACTGTATATTTATAATTTCATAACGAATATGCCGTTAACGGCGTTTCGAACAATTTTTTTTTATAATTAAAACAGCGTCGTTTTCACGGAAAACGACGCCGTGCGCATAGCATAATTTGCCGGATTGTATGCGCTCAGACCGGGTTGACCCACGTAATGGTGGGTTAACCCGTGTCTTGGAAATATGTTTAAGTATGTTTCTAGTACAAGATTTGAGCAAGGTGGACTCTGTGGCTAAACGGGATGAGAGGTCGATTGTGAGCCGTATGGCGTGGGTTCGAGACTCTTTACTGGCGTAGGATTTTAATTAATTCTCCCTCCCGTTTGTAGACATTTTACTACTACACTTCATGTATTATTTGTGAGCAAACGTTCCGAAGGTTGAGTGTGGTGTAGTGGCAGAATGGGTGTGCTTTGGGCGTTTAGCCAGGGTTCGTGTCTGCATGCATGCAGGTTTCGTCTTCAGTGCTATGCTTTGGAATTTGTTGTGCATAGAATGCGTATAAGAGACACAACCTGGCTTATTTTTTAATTAATTTTGCTTAGTTTATCTGAGTAAGCCGATGTTGGTTTTAGATTTCTTGTTTTGCGGTTATTATTTATGCTTTTTATGTAATCAGGGGTATGCCCCGGTATCACATGTATTTGGATTTTGATTTATATTTACATCTCCGATTTGATGGATCGAGGTCCACCTTGTAAGGTGGATCTGAGTTATATTCACAATTTTTGAACTCTATATTCACAATTTTAGAACTGCATATTCACAATCAATGATTTTTTTTTTTTAAATTATTGAAAACAACTCAACGAGTAAATGTTATGTTCTTTAATTGTGAATATATAGTTATGAAATTGTGAATATAGAGTTATAAAATTGTGAATATAGAGTTCTAAAATTATAAATATAGAGTTCAAAAATTGTGAATATAGAATTATGCAATTGTGAATATTGAGTTCTGTAATTTTGTGTATTGAGATTTAAAATTGTGATATAGAGTTCAAAAATTGTGAATATAAAGTAAAAAATTTGTGAATATAACTCGGATCAACCTTACAAGGTGAACACGAGTCCACAACATAATTTGCTAGTAGCATTAAAATGGGCCAAAGCTCGCGGACTAGCTCACACACGCTCCGTAGTCAATTGTTAGGCAAATTATGATGTGGACTCGTAGTCCAAAACGACGTCGTTTTAAGGGAAAACGCAGCCTTCCAGTTAAAAAAAAATTGATTTTGTCTCGCCGTTAACGACGTTATTCGTTTGTGGCATTATGAATGTACAATTATGGAATTATGAATGTACACTTATGGTATTATGAATGTAAGTTATGGAGTTATGAACACAGAGCTCTGACATTATGAACTTACAATTATGAACATATAGGCCCTGTTTGGTAAATGGCTGTTAGCTGATAGTTGTTAGTTGTTAGCTGATTGGGTTAATTAGAGGGTATAACTAGTTGATAATATTAGCTGATTGTAGAAAGGTGTTTGGTAAATTAGCTGTTAGCTGATAACTATTTGGTATAATTTCTTTTCTCAAAAAGCTAATTGAAAAAGTTGTTTTGAGTAGCTTTTTGATTTTAGCATTTTGGAGTACAAAAAACTAATTAACCGAACACTTATATTGATTTTTAAACCAAGTCAAACAACTAACAGTGGTCAAATAAGCTAAAAATGACCTATATGCTAACTATTTTACCAAACAGGGCCATTTTGATAAAACTATGAACATAGAACTCTAAAATTGTGAACATAGAACTCTAAAATTGTGAACATAGAGTTTCGAAAATTATGAATTTACAGTTATTGAATTATGAATGTACACTTACGGAATTATGAATGTACAGTTATGCAATTATGAATGTACAGTTACGGAATTAGGAATGTACAGTTATGCAATTATGAATGTACAGTTATGCAATTATGAACACAGAGCTCTGACATTATGAACTTACAATTATGAACATATAGTGATAAAATTATGAACATATACTCCTATAACAAAGTGGTCTGAAATTAAAAAAAAAAAAGAAGATAACAGTGCCACTAACAGCACGGTTACCGTGTCCAACATGCATGCTGGACACGGATTCATAGCATAACGATTACAATTGTTATGTATGCGCACGAATTAATATCTATAATTTTTATATTGTATATTCATACTTTTTACTGTAAATTCATAATTTCAAAATTCTTGGTCAGCTAAAATTTACTAGTATTGAATGGGTACCATACTAGTAAGTAAAATGAGTAATTATTAGGGAAATTAGGGTTAGACACTTGACTTCCGCAAATTTGTTCGGACTTCGCATAACTGCATCCGCTACTCCGCCAGCCATCCGCCAGGACCGCCACCGCCAGCCATCTCTGTTCGAACAGAGAGTCAGAGAGTAGAGACTCTGTTCGAGTGTTCTCACTTCGCATCCGCCATCCGCACTTCACAGGCCGCAGCCGCCACTCCGGCCAGCCGGCCTTCGTCCACGGCTCCGCAGGTAAGCCATCGCCGTCCATCAATTTCCAGTTTTTATTTTTTATTTCTTATTTCTTATTTTTATCACGTTTGTTATGTTTGTGAGTTAGGAGTTAGTTTTTGATTGTGCTATTTGAACTTTGAACCATAAACCTGTTAAAAGATGAGGAATTTAGGACGATCCATGTGCTGTCAGAAGTAGAAATGGTGAATAATATTTGATCATATTATTATTTCTGTATTGAAGAAGTGGAGTCCATGAAGTAAAGCGTGTATAATTCTTCAATTTTGAAAAGAGAATAGGAGAATTACATTAAATGTCGGCATGTAGCTATAATGTCTACATTGATGCCATTGCTTTGTTGATGTTAAGAAGTTTATTTAACTATTTTCCCTATGCCAAATATTAACATATCTTCTGCTTTATGGAAAACACTTGTATAGTTGTATTCGTAAGACGAATCTCAAAATAAATAGTTTTGACCTGAATTTGACCCGTTACAATGAAAGTTGTTCCTATACAGAAAACTTCTATCAACCTAGAGCGTTTATTCCCCTACAGAATATGTATTTACTGTCAAAAGTATTTGCCAGTGCATCTAATCCATCTATGCAAAGCAGTAATTGTATTTAATTGATTTATGACAACAACACAATATGTATTTCTTTGCAATACTTTATACCCCTTTTTGCGCTTGTATTCTGTAGTATTTTATTTTATGAAAAATATTATTTTTGGTATAAAAGTAATATGTATCAATTATTTTCTAAGTATTATTATTTTTTGTTTAAAAGTGATTTATATTGCATTTTCACGGAAAGCTATTATATGTTTGTCAAAAATTATTACATTTTTAAAAGTATTAATTATTAAATGTTCACTAGAAGTATTAAATTTTCACTACTTTTTTCTTTTGAAAAGTATTGTATTTAAAAAAAAACTACATTTTACTTGAAAAGAATTACTGTATATTTTTATTGAAAAGTATTAAATGCTTTTTTGAAAAATAGTATATTTTTATAAAAAGGTTGGAAAATATTACTCTGTACATAAATTGCAATTAAAAAATGTTTAATTTGTAATTGAAACGAAACAAAAACAAGAAGATTTAAAAAAATAAAGATGAAGCGTATTCTATATCCACTACACCTATGCTCATCTGTTTTTTGCCGGCAGCGATGGCTCGGCTGCTCTCACGCTCTTCACTGGCGACGGAGTAATAGTGTCATGCATCAGTAAGTCCACCATCTTCCTCTTTTTTTTTTTTTTTTTTTTCCTTCTGTGAAAGAGTGAGCCCCTATCCCATTCTTTTGCATATGTACTAAATTCCCAATCCCTAATATGAATAATATTTCATTTATGGTTGTGGTTGCAGACTTGCTGTGACTACTTAATTTATGGTTTTGGTTGCTGTATTGTGTGGACTGTGGTTGCTGTTTACTGAAATTGGGGATCGTCCCCAGTGGAATGTTTATGAGGACGCTCAACAAGTTTAGCTTTGCTCTCTTTTGCTCGGGGTTTAGTCTGCGATTGTGGCGGCTATATGTTTCTTGGCAGATTCTATAAGATAAGTGGCTCATTGAGCTATTTAACTTTGCAACTTCGTCATTTTTCAGGATCCAGAAATGTGAACAAGGTGGCCTTGTACCTAGAGAGGGCGAGGCTCATTGATTCTATAAGACTCAGTCTTCGGTCAGATTCTGCAAACTCTCTTTCCTCCCTCCTTAGAAGCCCTGCTTTGGACTCTTTTGTAGTCACGAATGCTCTTCGTTCAGCGCCGTCTCCTGATTCTGCACTGTTTTTCATTGAATCTCTAAAAGCAATTCCTCATTTTTCACACACTACAAACACCCTTTATGCATTGGCTAAGATTCTTGCCAAATCAGGGCTGACGGGTAAGCTTAGAGCTCTGATCAATGGTATTAACACAGGCAAGTTCACCAATGTTGTACGTGTAAGTTATATGGACCGTATGCGCTGGTATGCTGCTGCTGGAGACCTCGATGAGGTTTATAACGTTTGGGATGAATGGAGGGGAACCTTGCGGAAGCATCCGTGTACAGAATCTTACAACATTGTAATTGACCTCTGTGCTAAAAAGGGAAAGGACTCTGATGCCGTGAGGGTTTTTGATAGGATGATAAATGATGGGGCGCTTCCGAATTCTAGGACATATACTGTTATAATTGATCATCTTGTCAAATCTGGGAAGTTTGATTCAGCCACGGAAGTTTTCCGGGTCTTGCCGCAGATGAGGATAAAGCGCACATTGAAGCAGTATTCTATCATGGTGGGAGCATTCATTAGCAATGATCAGTTAGATGCTGTCAAAGATTTATTTGATGAAATGAGGGCTGATGGAATATTGCCTGGTCGAGCTATGCAATGGTCATTGCAGCGAATGCAGGAGGCAGGCTATGGTGAAAGTGTCGATGAATTGATCAGAGAAATGCTTCCAGATGGGAGGATTAAGAGTATTGCATGTTCCATGGATGCTAATGAGGATGAGGATGAGGATGATAATGATGATGGGGAGGAAGAAAATTCTGACTGTGTTTCTGAAGATGCTGGAGATCGACTTCAATTGAAGCCATGGCTGGACCCTGCTGCTTTGACTAGTGCCTTGCAGCATTGGGAACCCGAGGAGGTATCAGCATTGGAGGATGCAAAATTTGTGTGGACAACTCGGTTAGTCTGCAAGATGATCCAGAACTTTAACTCTGCAGAAACAGCATGGCAATTCTTTTGCTGGGTTGCTTATCAACCGGGATTTACTCATGATTGTTACACAATGTCAAGGATGATTACCAAGTTGGCTCGTCATGGCTGTGTCCATTTAGTCGATAAACTTTTGTCTAAGATGGAAAGAGAGGGTTTTAGGTTGTCATTTAGCACCCTTAGATTAATAATTGATTTCTATGGGATTTCTGGTAATGGTGATGCTGCTTTAAAGGTCTTCCGCAACGTAAAAACAATCTGTGGCCCTATTTCTAAAACCAGTCAGTTGGTTCTGTATTCATCTCTCTTGAGGACATTAGCGAAGTGCAAAAGGAATTCTGATGTCATTACAGTACTCGAAGAAATGATTCTACTCGGGATTTCTCCAGATAGGCAAACATATTCTGGATTGATGCACCATTTTGCCCTTCAAGGGGATATAAAAACAGTGCAGAGACTCTTTGGAATGGTTAGGCAGGGTGGGTTGGAGCCTGATGGTTTTATGTATAAGGTTCTCATCCATGCTTATTGCAAGTGTGAGAGGGCTTCTCTTGCACATAGAATTTTCGAGGATATGTTGAATTGTGGGCAATTGCCTGATGTCACAACCAAAGACTTGCTCGTGAAGAGTCTCTGGAAAGAAGGCAAGCTCAGAGAGGCGGCTGCTGTGGAAGAGCGAAGCGAGGAGCTAAACGATGCTCTTCCACTTGCTTTACCTGGGCATATGTTCACCATGAACTCTTCAGACCTCAGAAGAGTCTATGAGATATACTCTAATAGTTTTGCAACAATGAATACTTTGGATGTATATATGGATCAAGTATAAAGAGCTAAACTCTTTATTTCACCCTCTTTTATGCATGAGGTAGAGCCAATATGCTTACCTATTGAGCATTTCTTTGAGATGATTCATGCTCAATCAAGCGGCCAAAATGATATTTGCTGTTATTACTTTATAATTCCTGTTTCGTTTAGCCTTGGCCCGAGGTTCCTTAGGCCATTTGCAATTTTGAGGATCTGGAGTTTCTGCTTGTTCTGTGTCATGGCTGAGCTTTGGGGAAGTGTGGTGGTTTCAGTCCTGTTTTGGGGGTTTACTAATCAGGTAATGATTTCCCAGTATCATATTAATTTAAAACTAGATCCCTATTTTTTGATGGAACTTTACTCTTGGTTTGATTTCTACTCTCCTCCTTACTGGACATCAATGGTTGTAAATTGTTGCATCAGGTGAAAGGCAAGGGAACAATTTGATGTAGTTTGCTGCAATCCATTGGGTGGTGCTTTGATACAGCAATTCGTGATATTACCTTTCAAAGAGAATATTCAAAGTTGAAGATCAGACATCAGACACTTGGATATTGGGGTGTTTGACAAATAGTTGTTAGTTGATTAAGTTAATGAATTTAATTTACTTATAATATTAGCTGATTGTAAAAAGATGTTTGGTAAATTAGTTGTTAGCTGATAGCTAATTATATGTATAAGAGTATAATTTATATTTTTATAAAGTTAATCGGAAAAATAACATTTTGAATTTTAGTTTTTTGTAGCAATAAGTTATTACAAAATGATGATTAATCAAATAAGCCATAATGATTAGATAAGTTAAAATTAATTGATAAGCTACCTATATTACCAAACATGGTACTTGTCCGTATCAAATTTTGTTTCAACCACAGAAGTTGTTGAACCCTATGATCCTTCACTGTTCAGGGAAAAACCTAAACTCTAGACAGGACATGTACCATGTTTATCGTGAATTCTTGTTTTATCTTACATAAAAGTAGAACTTGCCCCTTTCCAATAGTTATACCATAGATCGAGTTCATCTTGCAATTCAAGGTGGACCTGAATCTAAAATATACAAGTTTATATAGTGAATGTTTACAATTTACATATTAAATGTTCACAATTTACTCTAGTGGCCTTGAAAATTGAAATTGAAGTAGCTTTTGTCGAAGAAGAAAAACTAAATGCAGCCACGGATGATGCTCTTTGAGTTCTTCCTTTGACGACCATGCCGCTGGCTTCTTTTCTTCCTTTGACGACCATGCCGCTGGCTTCTTTTGAGTTCTTCCTTTGAGGACCTTGCCGTTGGCTTCTTTTAAATAAATAGTTTAAAAGAAAAAATAAAAGGACATGTGTCAACACCATAGTTTTCCGCTGCTACTTGCAGACTTGCTTGCAGTGAAGACTACTATTATCTGACTGCCGCTTCCTTCCTTAGTTTTATACTTTACGGAGTATTATTTTCTTTTCAACTTTATTTTCCACCTCTTCACCAAGCCGAAAATTACAAAGCTGGTCTCAAGCATATATGTTACGGAGTATATTTCTTTCGGCTACATGTTGATCGAGTCATATGCATTTTCTTGTGTTAGCTAGGATTTGTGATCGAACTTGTGGATTAATATATAGAATGTGCATATATGCTCTAATCTTCATTATGAATATTTTAGATTCCATTTCTTTAACTACTGCCTTTAAACCTAAAAAGATACTTTTTAGTTTCTGTTGACTCAATCATGGTTGAAGCAACATTTTGACAAATGTCCAGTTTAAGATTCAGACTAGCTGGCTGTCTTGTAGTAAGAAGAGAATTATATTGAAGGAAAAAAAATTGGATTTCTTACCACATGAAGATAAAGATTCTTCATAATCTCATTATCACTTACGTTAACAACTAACAAACATGTATGTCACAAATATTTAATGCGGTGTTGACTTCTTGGTATGGTGTTACGTTGTTATATGCTAATAGTAAACTAGAGAATTTCGAGATTTTTTGAATTGAATAGAGCATACAGGGAGGACAGGTAGGAAGGCAATATAAGAGATTTAATGTCATTGTAACATTGTATTTTAACAACTTGTTCTACTAAGCAATGACGTATTTGCAATTTAATGCACTAAGTTGTAGTATCTGTTCATATACTTTTTCAACCTACTGAAACACAAAGAACCAATAACGCCTCCACCGTGGCTCGAACTTGTAACCTTCCAAATGGAAGTCCAACCCGGGTACCATTAGACAACATAGTCTTGATAAATCCTAGAATAATTTAAATCAACCAATATTATTATTATTCCCAGACCAACTCAAATACCTTCGCAAATTCGGGAGTAAGAGGCTGGTGACAGGATACCTAAAGAGACCAACGGTCACACAACGTAAACATTTATTGCAGCACCTACCTATTCAACAGGAGACAATTATGATGAAGACCGCACTCAATGTAGGCTTGGCTCCTCATTACTACTATTACTAAGGGAACCATTACTGGAGTAGGGAGACGTCGTTGGAGGCACTAGTATAACATGTAGCTTACAGAAGACACGCTCAATTCTTGTATTGAAACTATAAGACAATATGGCTCTTTACTTTCTTAATATTATCTTGTAACCATATTTGCCGTCATGATTAATGAATTTTACATTAAAATATTATAAGTTTGATCCTCAATTCATTCAAATGTACCAAAGAATAATAGGTACAAGATTTGAACATACATTAATGTGCACCATAAATGGAGTTAAATGGAAAGGATCCATTCTTAACCAAAGGTCAATGGTTTGATCATTGACCTTGAGTATGGAGCAACCTGCAATCTTCAGGCCAGCTGCTCTGATTCAACATAAAGGTGCCTACAATTTAGCGAGTGATTAATCACTGTGTCCTAAGATGAAAACTCTGGACTACACCCAAAAAAAATAAAAAAATAAAAAAATAAATGGGGTTGAATTGATCTCGGCTGTAGGGACATTATTGTGTTTAGAGTTTTATAATTGTATTTGCTAAGCGTTAAATACTCGTCATAATATTTGTTATTGAACGGTAATCATCACCATAATATATATATAAATCTACAATTATTTTAAAATGGAAATTTGTATGAAATAATTAATGATATAAAATTGTTCATGACGACATAAATACAAAAATATTATACAATATAATATTTATATATGACGTTTTTTTCTTTTTTTTTTGAATAATATATGACGTTTCTTAGAAATGATATAATTGTGAAAATATTCCATCCATAAGCCTCCAAAAACAGGTTTTATGCAGTGACAAGGGATAATACGCCAATTTGGACATCTTCTAAATAAGAATCACTAATGAAATGAAAATTACTTATTAATTTCCCTCGACCCACAAATCCTATAAATTAGACCCAACTTTTCAGAATATTATCAAAAATATATATAATGGGTTCCTTAACACCCCTCAAACTTCCTGTGATTGATTTCACTAAGGAAGACATGAAACCCGGCACAGATTCCTGGGTTGCAGCTCGTCGAGAATCTGTGTCGGCCCTTGAAGAGTATGGCTGCTTTGTAGCATTGTACGATAAAGTATCATCAGAAGTTCATGAGAGGGTTTTCAAAGGTTTGGTGGAGCTGTTTGATCTTCCTACGAATGTTAAAGTTGAGAATAAGTCCACAAAACCCTTGTATGGCTACGTGGGACAAATCCCAATCGTTCCTCTTTATGAGAGCATGGGCATTGATCATGCAAACACTCTTCAAGGAATTCAGAGCTTCACAAAACTCATGTGGCCTCAAGGGAATGATGATTTCAGGTATCATTTATTAGCTAATTCAATTCATTTTTTTTTTGAGTGATGAGGGAAATTAAACCCGCAATCATTACCCAAGTGTACGTGTACATGGAATTTGCATTGTGATCTAGTTAGCAAAGGATCACAAGGAAGTAAATCAGCCTGGCTACTCATAGTTTACCAACTCAAATTAAGAAAGTCAATAGGCTGTGCTCCTACCAGAGTTGATCAAACTTGTAACCTTGTGGTCATCAAGTCAATAGTCTGACCAAGAAAGTCAATAGGCCACTCCAATGGGCTTTGTGACCTTAACCGACAAAAGACTAAGGAGGTAAACAAGCCTAGATTGTCCATAGCTGACTAGCTTAAACCAATAAGCTGTTTGTGGTAAATGGCTATTAGCTGCAGTGGTGGAGCGACAGTGGGGCTGCTGCCCCACTCACCCACCCAATATATATTAAATATACCAACACTTACACAAAGATTGATTTGGCTTAGATGGTAATGCTTTTTCATAATATGCAATGGTCATTTGTTCAAATTCTGCGGTTGACTTCTTTGATTTTATTTTTTCTTCTTTTAATATTAATAGTGAGATGAGTGATTTATAATGTGTTTTCGATTTTTTTAATTTTGATATATTTTGAATTTTCATCTCTAGTCAACAATATTTATGACTTGGTCTCTAAGTGTTCATTTTTTTTTCAAAATATCTTTCGTTAGTTTTAGTCTTTTGCCCCCCACTGGAAAATATTTATGATCTGCCACACGTTAGCTATTAGCTGATTGAGTTAATTAAAGAGTATAACTAGTTGATAACATTAGCTGATTGTAGAAAGATGTTTGGTAAATTAGCTGATAGCTGATAGCTGTTTGGTATAATTTTTTTTCTCAAAAAGCTAATTGAAAAAGTTGCTTTGAGCAGCTTTTTGAATTTTAGCATTTTGGAGCTATAAAAAGCTAATTAACCAAATACTTATATTGATTTTTTAACAAGTCAAACAATTAATAATGATCAAAAAAGCCAAAATTGACTGATACACTAATTATTTTACCAATCAGGGCCATATACTTTCTTTGTATTGTCAACTTATACCAACCATTATATTGTTGTGTTTGTACAGTGAGGCAATGCTGGTGTACTCAAAATTAGCAGCAGAGCTGGAAGAGATGGTGGTGAGGATGGTGTTTGAGAGCTATGGCGTAGAGAAGTATTATGAATCCCACGTTAAGTCTGCATGTTATCTGGCAAGGGTTATGAAGTACAGAGAAGCCCAAGAGAATGAACCCAAATTAGGGTTTGTCTCCCACACAGACAAGAGTTTCATGTCCACAATTTATCAGAATTGTCATATCAATGGCTTGGAGATCAAGGCTAAAAATGGTGATGATTGGTTTGGTGTTCACCTCTCTCCTTCTTCCATTGTAGTCATGGCTGGTGATGCAATTATGGTATGCATGCATGCATGTTTCTTATTTGTTTTATTAAAATATAGGAAATTATGGAATTTCCGACCACCTGAAAGTGATATTAAATCAAGTTGAAAGTCTTGTTCGGACCAATTTTGGTATCCAGAAAAACTTTTGTTGCTATTTCTGACCACTTTTGGTATCCGGAAAAATTTTTGTTGTTATTTCCGACCACTTTTTGTTTTCGATTTGATTAAGATCACTTTCAGGTGGTCGGAAATTTCATAATTTTCAAGTGAATTTATATATTAATAATAGAAAAGTGAAATGTATTTGGAGCAGGCATGGAGCAACAACAGAATAAAATCTCCCCATCACAGAGTGATGATGGAAGGGAAAGGTCCAAGATACTCTATTGCTCAGTTCTCCTTCATGGAGAAAACCATGATTCAAACTCCCACAGAACTGGTTGATGGTGATCATCCCTTGCAGTTTAAGCCGTTTGATCACCTCCATTATCTCGACTTTTTCAGCAAAGAGGAGAATCGCCGACTCCCTTGCGCTCTCAAAACTTATTGCGGTGTTTAACCTGCTACATTATAGTTATTCTCGACAATAAAATTCTTGTCTGATCTATAAATATGTCCATTTCAAAGCATTGAAACATTTTGCATGCATGTGTGAATATGCATGTATGTGTAGTTGAAATTTCTTAGATAAGTTAGACTTATAATAATTAGGTTTCACTTGTGGTTGTGGAACCAAAATCGGGCCTATTTAAAAATGTTTTGTATCGTGTCTTTTGTAGAACGTTAGATATTATTTTATATGCGTATATGTTGTAATGTTCCTTCTTAATTGTATGCCCGATTATTAATGAAATAAAATGTTATTTGCCAATACTCAACATTTGATCATTTAAACAATATACTTTCTTACATAGCAATCACAGACACATATAGGTTTGGGATGAGCTTGGTTCATTTCATAAGATTTTGAGTCCAAATAATGATAGTTTTAATAATGTAATATAATATATAGATGTGATAGAGTATGTCATTTAATTAAGACCGATATGATAATTAATAGTTTGAGTCTAGATTAATTGAAATTTAATTTGATTAATGAAAGTTATTTCTAAGCTTGGTACAAAGAATCTGATCTAACCTGGTGTTGCTCCACTTTCTTTTATGTGCTGGCACCATGTTTCTATGTATGTTGACCAAGCTTTTGTTTGACATATGTTTGGAGTAGGGTTATTTTGTCTGATTTTCGGAATGGAATGGACCTCTCATTTGGCAGTAGTTATACTGTGGACCATGGTCCACAGTGCTAGGTAGATCATGATCGTCAAATGAAACTGTAATAGAATTAAAACGATAATGTACTTCAATGTTGCTATAATGAAATTAGTGTGTGGAAAATGAAACTAAAAAACAGAGCTCATTCAACAATGTATATTGTCAAATGAAACTGTAGTATGGAACTACTATGTATGGAAAATGAAACTAAAATTCAGAGTCATACAATAACATATATTGTCAAATGAACCTAGAGTGTAATTAAAATAGTACTTTAATGCGAAGCACCTTGTGCTCAGATGACATGTAGTGACCTTTCCTATGTGAAAGGTTATGAGATTGTGCCTCAGTGGAGGCGTTGTTGACTGTGCGTAACCTTGGTCATTGTACAAAAAAAAGAGCTGATAGAAGGTTACCATTCATTTCACCAGGTTGCGCTTACATGGCCGGCGACCACCCGTCTTTTTTTTTTTTTTTTTAATAAATTTTATTTTTAAAATTTATTATTAAAAATTATTTAAAATTCCAACTCACCATCCACGTAAGCAAGCAACCTAATGAAATGGATGGTAACCTGCTATCAAGTGAAATTGCATACATTTGGGGTGTTCAGTGGCCTAATTGCACTTTTTTTTTTTTTTTTTTTTTCGTTCAGTGGTCTAATTGCATATTCAGGTTACGTTCAGTAGCGAATTTGAACCTTATTCCATATTACTATAATTAAACTAGTGTATGTGGAAAATGAAACTACAAAATAGAGCTCATGCAATAATGTATATTGTCAAATACAATTGTAGTAGAATTAAAATGATACTTTGGTATTGCTATAATGAAACTAGTATGTGTGAAAAATGAAACTGGAAAACACAGCAATATTGTCAAATGAAACTGAAGTGTAATTAAAATGATACTTACTTCATAGACCACACTGCTACATACATTGGTGCACCACGGTCCATAGTAAAATTTGCCCAATCATTATTGTATGGACCATGGTCCATACAAATTGTATGGACCATATTTTGTATACTGTAAAATAATGTACATTATATTCAGGGGATGTACATTATTTTTGTACTGAATGTACATTATATTGTATAATGTACATACGATACAAAAATAATGTAATTTAATATATTAAAAATGTACTTTTTGTTATGGTCCATATAACATTGTGGACCATGGTCCACACAATAATTTGCCAAATTTGCCCTCATTTGGGCAGTGCGCGGAACTCATTAATTAGTTCTAGAGTACCTCATCCAGGCTAGTGGACTTGGCCCATATACACTAACCAGTCCAACAGGGCAAATTACGGTCCACACAGCTGTGTGGATCACGATTCAAAACGACGTCGTTGAATATTATGAGTAAAAATAATGTACATTATGTGTTAGAATAATATACTTTATGTGTTAGAATAATGTACATTACATATTTACGTGTTAGAATACGAAACTTCTGGGGTAATATAATGTACATTATGTTTTAGAATAATGTATATTGTGCTTTAGAATAATATATATTCTGAGTTATAAAAATGTACGTTGCAGTGGGACGCGTGAAAAATTTCACAAAATAACGTTGTTTTTGGATGTGGTTCACGCAACTGTGTGGACTACGATTCACGCAATAACTATTGGTACAACAATGAAGTAAATGTTAAAGACTACAATAGTCGGAACAGAAAAACTAGAATCAATTATGTTTAATGAATACAAAGTAACGTAGTTTTTGACTAAAGTAGCAAAAAATAATATGGGGCATGTGTCATTTTCATTTCCTTTTTTTTGATGGATTGGAACAATAATTGTAATGAGCCAATGAGGTAGCCAATAAAAAGAATATTGTATGTACAACATATATATAAGCTAGGCCGCCATGAGCAATAAAAAACAGTCCAAAAAAATTATGAGAAAACATGGTTGGTCATAGCAACTGGCAACAGATGTATGACTGAATTGAAAGAGGACATGGCCTACGCCAAAAAAACATCATGACTTCCAGTAACCTTGTAACCTCAATCATCACAAAAACCATTCGACCAACCAACAACGTAACCATATCAAACTTAATTGTGCTGTTCCATCCTCCAGGCCAGCCTCCATCAATTCCCAACATTAATTAAACTACTCCTATACATGTCAACTGCTTCTACATCATATACATATATCCTTACTCTCAAAACACTTATAATTAATTTGCTTCCTTCCTTCTGCTGCTCTTAGGATGGAATTCCTAACATTAATCAATCCAAACTTGCGGCGCATCAGATCAGATCAGTGCTTATTATGCGTCAAGTCTTGTACATACCTAGCTTCCAAACTCACAGCTGGAAATTATGGAATTTCCGACCACCTGAAAGTGATCTTAAATCAAGTCAAAAGCCTTGTTCCGACCACTTTTGGTATCCGGAAAAATCTTTGTTGCTATTTCCAACCACTTTTTACTTTCGACTTGATTTAAGATCACTTTCAGGTGGTCGGAAATTCCATAATTTCCAGCAGTGACTGGGCCTACACCCTGGCCTAGTCATTAGTCTTATCTGTGGACCGAGTCAGGTCGAGATGAAAATGTAATACTTATATGTAGGAAAATGTAATACTAATTATGAATATAATGAATTATTTATTACTTATAATATAAGGTATAATACTGTTGAGGAAAAATGTAATACTTTTAAATTAAAATGTAATATTTGAGAGTTGAACGGTTACTTATAAGGAAGAGTATAACACTAATCATGAATAAACTTATTGATTATTACTTATTAGGAGAGAAAATATAATACTTGATAAGTACATGCCTAATTGCTTATATTTTCATCATGCATTTAAGATTATTTTTCTTTTCATTTTTGTAATTTTTTCCTAAGTGTTCCTTATTTGATTCATTTGTGTAAAAAAACTCAAGTCTGTTCTTCCCCTCAAAACTAAGAGCATGTCTAGCCAAAGCATAAGCTACCATATTACTACTACGAGGCACAAAATGGAAAATAGCTAATGGCATAATACGCAACAGCTCACGGATCTCATCAATAATGAACCCAAAGGATGTATTACTTTTTCCTGCCGCGACGGCTCGCGTAACAATCTGAGCATCTGTCTCTACAACAAACCGATGCCATCCTTTATCCTTTAGCCAACTAAGAGCCTCCCTTGCACCCATCACTTCAGCCTCCCGCGCACTGTATACAAACCCCCTTTTTGCAAACATAATCACCCCAATGATCTTCAAAGTGACTTTTTAAACTCAACCTTAAAAAGAACATAAGGACTAACAACTATTGTGTAATCAATTGGATGGGGGACGAAAAATGTTATTTCTCTATAACTAAGGGACGATAAGATATAAATGCACTTATAATATCTTAGAAATACATAATTTATCCAAATACAAGTTAAGAAAAATCATATTTAAAGTTCAAAATAATTAATAAATTCACATAATTAAAAAAAACATGCAATATTATATATATATTTTTTGAGTAGTATTAACACTATTATAAAGTAGTATCTATTCAATAATGAACTCACATAATTTTCAATAAAAGTGCAAATAATGCACATACAACGAAAACCTAATAATTCATTGAATAATTGTGCAAACACTTTTCTAGATTGTGACCTAAAAATAAAAAGACTTTTTGAGTCTGGATTCAACCATAAAAAGATGGACAACGTCTTTTACCGCATGATCCATGACGTCATTGTGTCTTTTTACTTTTTACTTTTTTTTTTTTTTTGCCCTAATAGGAGTCTAAAATTAGTGAATCCCATTCCATATTCCTAATTAAACTTTTTGTCCTCCTTTAAAGCAATTTGTAATGCTACACTTTTTTCCCTATCAGGATAAATATACAATCTTTAAATTATTAATAATAAAAATAGCATTTTTCCTACTAAAATTTCTCTATATTATTCACTGGTAAGTTTTAAAAAGATTTTTTTAAAAAAATTATTAGCTTTGAGGATGGGTGGACTTGTAATTAGTTAATAGAAATGTCAATCTTAGTTCAATGAATTAATCCAGTAAGACAAAAAAAATTAGGGTTAAGATAAAAAATTTTAGCCGGATAAGTCCGACATTGATAAATCCATTGGTTCAAACAAGCTAGCTCGAAATTTAATGAGCTAGCCTGATAGCCCAAGTCATTTAAGACAGATCGTTATGCTGCCGTATGCACCATGCATGGTGCATACAGATGCCAAAACGACGTCGTTTTATTAAAAATGCGTATCCCACTTAAAAAAAATCAGTTTCGATTCTGGAATTTTAGTTCATAGATTCTGGAATTTTAGTTCATTGATTATGGATTTTAGACGTGAATCGAAACTGATTTTTTTTTTTTTTCATTCATGCTGGATATTTAGTTCATTCATTATGGATTTTTAGTTCATAGATTCTGAAATTTTAGTTCATAGATTCTGAAATTTTAGTTCATAGATTCTGGAATTTTAGTTTATCGATTCTGCAATTTTAGTTCATTTGGTTCTGGATATATAATTCAAATTATGCACAATATAATGTTGTTGCTGAGAATCGAAACTGATTTTTTTTTTTTAAAGTGAGACACGCGTTTTTAATAAAACGACGTCGTTTTTGC